TGTTAGAAACCTTATTATCAACAGGTCAGCAGGCCGCTGGGTTGGACTAAACTGGCTTTAAGGGGGCGGCTGGACTTTACGCGAAATTTAGTTGTTTAGTCTTCGTGCGCATGCTTATTTTATCAATGATTTTAAGAAGTTTATCTCTGTATGAACTTTTATTTTGATATTTAGCCAGAAAAGTTGATGTTTCATTGGCCACCATTTTGAATAAGATGAATAACGACGCTAATTCGTGTCTTCATTTGGCTGTTCAATATCGCCACATTAAGGTAGGTGCACTGATAAAACGTTGTACTATACCAGCGCTGGAAAATTATTTACATCCGCAATGAAAATACACCTACTATTTAAAATACATAATCCAAAATTCAAAATCTAGAGCAATATTAAAATCTAGAATAAGAAAAGAATAAAACAAGTTCTGGGATGGTAGTTATGATTTTAATACAAATTTTGGGTGTATTGCAATGCCAAATAGATGAAACAATATTTCAGCTCTGGTCAAGAGCCATGATTTTGCGTTGATAAAAAGTTAAGTATTCTACTTGTTCAATTTCTTATCACATGATCATGATGATATATTTTGTTAGAAGATAATTTAGCGCATATCAATACCAATTGTAATTCCTAAGGTACTTAGGCATTCAACTAAAATCCGTTTAAGAACGTTGCCTCCATTTCTAACATGATCGCCTGCGTTGCTCGCCGTATCCGACGGACGGGGTACTTAACTATTAACTTATTTTTGCAGATCTTAACATCAACTAATAGATAATTCACAAATAAGATTAAAAGACAACCACGTGCTTTTCAAAATACTACGCTTTAACTGTTTGAAAATGATAGTTCACTGATAGATTTATGTATCTATACTTAACAACAACAACAACGAGCTTTATTTACCTTTCGCTTTTAAATAATTATAGTTACTTAAGGTAGTTTTAGTCTAACGGTCAGTTACATACGATATAATATTTGTAAAACTAAAAACACGTTACAAGTAAGGAAATGCCTAGCACACATACACACATAAACTGCAGTCAAAGAGTATAATAGGTACGTAAAAAAATGTTTTATGCGATTATTAACTCTGACAATGGATTTGCTTGACTAATAAATATTGTTTTACTTTCTTACGAAAATTGAAGTCTTTTACATGTTTAAGTTCAATAGGTAATTCCTGCCACAATTTAACAGCCATAGCCGATGTAGTTCGTTTGCCAGCATTAGTCCTAAAATGTCCTTTATAGCGGAGCTCCACGCGCGGCACTTCGCGCCGCGCGTGGGCGGAGCCCCATAGCTAAGGAAATGTGGTAATCTACCCATCCGAGAAAATTTGGTAATCATGTGACCGTCCACCGAGCGAGGGACCGACCGACCGTCCGTCCGCACCACAGGCATACCAATGTAAAATAACGCAATCAACAGATATGGCAACCAAAATGCAACTCAAGGTTTTATTCGGAAGGAAATCACATGGCCGCCCGGACTTTTAGAAAGAAAAAATAACTACAAAGTCGTGTCTTTTCGGCGTTATTTTTTATGTTTACACTAACGTGGATAACAGAGAAAGAGCTAGGGCGAGTTGTTGAAAACAAAGGAGACGAATTTCGTGGGAAGAAAAACATGGAAATTCAAATCGGCGGTGAGAAAATGAGAAATGCTAGGGGCCAGCAAGATGAAAATGAGCGGCGGTGAAAAATAAAAGCGAACATGAACACAGGAAACAAAAATATTGGGTAAACACATACGACAATTCCTCCATAAAAATAATGTGTAACTAGGAAGATCGACGTTTTAGTCGTACAAAACAAAGACAGAAAAGCGTGCTACACTTGCAAATTTGCTTTTTGCTAATTAGAAGAAAAGTGTGCTGCACGTGCAATTTTTTCTTTGCTAATTAGATCTATTAGTCTTGAAGCCATTTTCATCCTCGTCTCCGTTTAGCATCACACGATTTAACTTTTTATGTTTATAAGTATTATTAACCAGAGCTTCGCTTTTAGCCCTGGCTAAATCTATATATTAGAAATTGGCCTTTGATGCGTATCTTCCATTGTAATGAGTGAACATCACAGGCATAGCGAAAGTGTTGATCAAAAATTAGGTTATTGTCGATTGCTTTTTTTAGGTTGTCTGTGATTTCTGCTATAGCTTGTTCTGTTGATCGTCCTTTCCGGAACCCAAACTGAAATTGGCATGGAATCTCATACTTTTCAAAATAATTTATCAACTGCTCAATTGCAATTGTCTGGTCAGCGGCGAGCGAGCAAGATGGCCACGGCTTTTTGAGCCCAAGTTGAAATCAGCATAGTCGTTTACTTCTTGTATATTTTTTATGTTATTTTTGGCTCATTAATCATGCCGGAAAAAGTAGCTACCTTGAAAAAACAAAATAAGCAATTGCAGTCACAAATTGCCGAACTTTCTTCAGAACTAAAGAACCTCAAGGAGATGCTCGAGAAACGTAGAACCTCAGATCTTATTATTGAATCTACAACTGGAACTTCAGACCATGAGATGGAGAGGTGATCCCTACGGTGACCTCAACAGTGTTCAAGGAAAAGCTGTCAGAGAGCCCAAGTGTTTGAGCGACCGACTGTCTAAAATCAGCAGAAGTAACATGGCAAGAAAATGATTACGCTCACAGAGTCCTGAAGAGGATAGTATTTGTCTAAAAGTAAGGATGCCTGCAAAGCAGATCCATCACATTTGGCTTTTTCGAGGCGGGTCTCTTTGGAATTTGTTAGAATCTTTCAACACTTTTCGCCGAAGATGCAGAAAGTTTTCTCTGACGCAAAGAAATTCAAAGAACAACAACAACATCAGCTCTGTTGGACGAAAGGCTCTGTGGTGTATCTTCGTAAAATCCAGAGTCAGTTACTGTCAAGATAAAGGATGCTGCGGCCTCGCAAAGATTGGAAATGTATTCTAGTGGCTAGATCTCTGAAATTCTGGAACTTACAATGTCGACCAGGTACTAAATCAGACTGTGCGAATTCGTGAGTAACTATACAGAAGTGTATACCTGCATGCAGTCGGTGCAATAACTCAACTACCAATCGGTCATGCTCTGAATGTTTAGCTCATTATTTTCCATTTACTCACTTAGATAATACATCTTTTGACCTCGTAATTTTTTTGAAATATTTACAGTACTGTTAACTTCGATGCTGATCGATTGGAAAACCGTTGTTTTAACCCTTTGGATTATTTGCATCGTGCTAGTGATCGTACTGATCTTGACCCAGACTGTAATTTTCCCAAAGAAAGCTCTAGTTCTTGTGATTACTTTTTGAAGGCCAGCTGAATGAATTATTGGTAAACAAAAATGACTTTGACTTATCGATATTTCATCTAAATGCACGTAGCCTGTATGGTAATTTTGGGAAATTTACGCAGCTTTTAGGGTTACTCGATCACGAATTTTCAGTTATAGGTATATCTGAGACCTGGCTAAATGATAGCATTTTAGATCTGGTCGATATACCTGGCTATAACTTTGTCTCAAACCATAAGGTAAAAAAAACAGGCGGTGGAGTTGGCCTTTATTTATTAGGCAAATTCGAATTTAAAATTAGACCAGAGCTAACTACTTCACACCCGAGTTGCTACGAGGCTATTTTTGCAGAGATCAATATCCATTAGGGGAAAAAATGCCATAGTTGGCACTTTTTATCGACCGCCCGATGAAAATGTAAATGTAGTTTTGGATTCATTGCGAAAATTAGAGTCCACTACTACTAGAGAGAATAAGATTTTTTATGTCATAGGCGATTTTAATTCAGATCTTTTACGGCATGAGCAACATGCCATCACAAGAGAATTTGTCGAGCTTATGTTTTCTCACCTACTTTACCCCTTGATCATAAAGCCCTTCCGTGTAATATCTAACACCACCTCTCTTATTGATAATATTTTCACTAATAACGTTACTTGTCTATCTGTCAATGAACTGATTGTAAATGAATTATCTCGCCACTTGCCGATTTTTTCAATTAACCGTGGAAACTTTGATTGCGACACTTCCACTAAAAGAGAAAGCATTGTTGTCCGTGATTTCAAAGATGACCATGTAAGTTTTTCAAAAATTTGTGTGAAAACAGAAAGGGTTGAGATAGGTCGGAAATTTGCAGGGTCCATAATGTCACCACCTTTATCTACAGGTGTTATGCACCTATCAATGTAATGCCGGCCGGGGGGGGAGGCAGGGCATAGGGTGGGGATTTGACTTTTTTCAAAAATTTTCAATCAAATTCCCTGCCCACGGGCAAATCATTCCAGTCAAATGCAACCAAATTTCCCCACCCCGGGCTGCACATTGCTGTCAATCCAAAGGCAGAACCTAAGAAAGGCACAATAAAAATATCTCTAAATACTCTGCAATCTTTTAAAAAAACGTTGCTGCATCACCAAAGATACATGTTCATGTTACAGCTGCAATTATACGTTTTAACCATAATCCGTGTTACACTGCGCATGCTAGAATACATAAACCTTTAGGAGAAAGTCCACATTTTGCAAGTTTAAATATACCGTTCTTAGTAAAAGGTACAAAGAAAGTCAGTTTTATCAGTTTACAGTGAATGTAGCGAATAAGCCATACACTAATCAATTGTACTTGCAAAAATCGACTTGGTTTCTCTTTACTTCCGTTTACTTTGATACCACAGTATTTTAAGAGGTTCAATTGATCACTAACACGCTAAAACAAACGAAATTTAAAGACAAAACAGTGAAATCCACTCAGCCTTCGCTTGTTCTCATTGGCCTCCATGACTTCCTGATCTTTTATTCCCTACGGAGGAAATGCGTCGTAAGTAGTTTTTTTATAGAGGTAAGTATGCCGTTGGGTATCCATGGCTTTTTTAGCTGTCTTGTTTTTAGAACTGGAAACTTTTCGAATTGGGGAATGTTTATCTGTTATGTCCTGTAATACTTGGATTATATTGTTACAACTGATGTTAACATCCTCAGTATTAACAAGACTACAGAAGTCAGTCTGGGCCAAGTCTGCTTCAAAAGGTCTCTGTCAAAATGTGAATAGTCCCTGTAATAGCTTGCCTGAGCATAAGCTGGAAGTTTGGTTGAAATGGTTCAAAATCTTAGTAAATGATCCGAAATATCGGCTAAACAAATACCAGATTTGATCACCTTTTAGGGGAAGTTTATGTAAATGAGATCAATGAGGGCTGCGCTATGGTCTGTAATTCTATTAGCCTTAGTGATAATTTGCAAGTGCCCAAGATCTAAAAGCATGTGAAGAAATTCAGAAGTTTGTTCATCATTGTTGTAGTTGAAAAAGTTGATATTTATATCACCTATAATGTAAATCTCGTAGCCTTTAAAGTTTAGATATTCTAGTTTCTGTTTTAATATTTCGTGAAACTTTTCCCGGTCATTAGCAGAGTGCCTGTAATCACATCCAATAAAGACGTTTTTAATAAACTTCGCTCTATGTAGTTCTATTAACAAGTTTCAAGGACCTCTAATATTACATCTAAGTCTGACCTTCTAGTGAATTATAATTTATCTTCTATGTACAACCCAGCTCCTCCAGCATTTGTTTTTGAAACCTTGTTTACAAAATTATATCCTGGTATGGATATATTGTAGGGATTGTTTTCGACTAATTTGGCTTCAGTGACTGCTATAATACTAGGCAATTCCTTTACCGTTAGTAATAGATCATTAAGGAGAGTTAAATTTTAGGCAAGCTACGAATATTACAGTGAAATATTGAGAAACCTTTTGACGAAGCTTTCTGAAAAGAAACACCAGTTTGCTTTGTATTATAATACCTAGGTTCAATTGTATTTAAATTCGAATAATCTGCTTTGTCAGGACTTTCAATAACACTATTAAGAAACGGTCCAGATAAGAACGATAGTAACAACGGCAACGAACGTGTTGGAATGCAAAAAAGGTGCTAACGTTTCTATTGTCTGTACTTACTTCTGATTGGCTTAAACAGCAAAAGTTAACAAAACTTCATACAGCGGTACATATATTCATCCTTACTTTCCAACCATCTTCCATATAACAAAATCTGGTCTATGTATAAATAACAAAGAAATCCTGTGTGGGAACATGTAAAATTGTAAACTTTTCTTGACTATTGTTTTCAACTCTTGTGATTGGTGAAAATCTTTTAACACAAAAAAACACCCTTTCAAAGTGGAGTGTAAATGCATTTTATTGCGTAAACGGCCTTCATGTAGGTTTATGCATTCTCTGTGTAAAAATGAGAACTTTCCTATTTGGGGAAAGCACCGTTGCCTCATAACAAAAGAAATTGCTATCCACCTTACCCGGATCATTAGCTAAATAGATCTCTCTAATCGGTTAATGATCTATAATGCTAATGATAATGGATTTGGATAGCGCTAAAACTATAGAAGAATATTCAAAAGCGCTTTACATTAGGTTAAAATTAATGAATAAATAAATAATAAATAAAAAATTTAAAAATCCCTGAAAGCTATAATAATAACAATAATATGTTATGCTATGGTAATATCTAAAAAAATGAAATTCGAAAATTCCAAACTAAATTAAAATTTAACATTAGAACCATTCCAACAAATTAAAAGCTTTGTTAGAAAGAAATGTTTTAAGTTGCTTTTTAAAAATGGCGAGGCTGCTACTTGTTCTTATAGTTAATGGCAGCGAGTTCCATAAAACAGGTGCAGCATGAGCAAAAGCCCGATCCCCAAGTGTAGAGCAGTTGACTTTTGGAACGAACAGAAGAGATTGTGCAGACGAACAAAGAGCATAATTAGCAGCTGGTTTCAGGGATAAAAGATCGTTAATGTAAGATGGACTTTGGTTGTGTAGTGACTTGTAAACAAAAAGGAGCAATTTGAACTGAACTCTAAACGTTACTTGGAAGCCTATGTAAGTCGGTGAGAGCGGGTGTGATATGATCAAATTTCGCAATGTGAAAAGTCACTCTAGCCGCGGCATTCTGAACTTTCTGTAAACCATCAAGTTGATATTTAGGTAGACCAAATAGAAGTACGTTACAGTAATCAAGGTGCGAAGATACAAAGGCATGGATCAGTGTCTTTGTGGATTGCACGGTAAGGAATTTTCTGATCTGTCTTATGTTGAATAGTCCGCGAAAAGCCTTACTAAAAATCTTGCCTAGGTGAACATTCATTCCCATATGAGCACCGAACCAGGACCCAAGGTTCCGGACGCTTTCTAAACGTTTAATGACGGTGTTACCAATAATTTATAATAGATTCAACAGATGTATTTTCAAGTTGTTGATGGGTGCCAATAATTAGAAAGTCAGTTTTCGCGTCATTGATCATTAAACGATTTCCAATAAACCAAGAGCGAACATCAGCGATGCACTTTTCAATCACAGAGACAGCATTAATTTCCGAACGGATAGAACAAGGTCGGAAGGAGAGGTAAATCTGGGTGTCATCAGCATAACCATGAACGGAAGGAAGGTGCTGACAAATAATGTTAAAGAGGCGGGAGACGTAGAAAGCAAATAAAATAGGCCCCATACAACTGCCCTGGGGAACTCCACAGTTCAGATTGAAGTTGTCAGAAGTCTAATCACTGACAAGTATACGTTGTTTGCGACCAGACAGAAATGAGTCGAACCAATTTAAAGCAGTTCCGACGACTCCAAAATCCTGTTGCTATCAAAAGCAGCACTAAGGTCTAAAAGTACGAGAAGTGTCACTTCCTTATTATCCATACTCATTAAGATGTCGTTTTAAACCTTTAATAGAGCAGTGTCTGTCGAGTGATACTTACGGAGGCCGGACTGGAATTTAGGAAGAGGGGCATTTTTCTCACAGTGGACGAGAAGTTGTTGAAGTTGCTGAAGTGCAGCCTTTTCCACTACGTTGGAAATGAATGGGAGATTCTAGTAGAATAATGAACCCGTGAGCCTGTAACTTTCATGAATTCTCTGCCTGATAAGCCATTAAATGGAAGCTTATTTAATAGATAATTCATTATTTATGGTAAAAGAAGTTTTAGTTGCATATTTTAAACATCCAATCTAAAAAAGAAGAGAAGAGCGCTTAAAGGTCCCTTTTATATGGAGAAAGCTCGTCCCAGGTAGAAGGGTCGCTCACCAATCTGAGCTACCCCGAGTAAGCCAACGTTTCATAAATTTCCTTTCAAAATGTGGTAGGGTCCCCTATTCCTAACCGGGCTAAATTTACTCGATTTCAACACGGCGGCTCGTCCCGCAGCCGGGTCAACTCGGACAACGTAAGAAAATTAGAGCATTTGCAAGCGCTGCTGGCTCTGGGAAAGGGATCAACTTTTTCTCATTTAAACGCTCTCTAAATTGAGAGAAGGACTCTCTTTCCCGAGACAACTTTTCTTACAATAGACGGGCCTTATTTTCTCTAAAATTGCGTGTTTGCCATCATGGTTTTTCTTTAAATTTAATAGTTCTCGCATAAAGTCACTTATCCTTCTTATTTAGCGTAATTACGTACCAAAGAGGTGATAATAATAATAATAATAAGAAGAAAGTTCTTTTTACAGATGGCCTATGTCATATAAAGTGGTTTTCAATAGGGCACTGCATAAAAACTAAAAAACTACAGTACTAAAAATAACAAAATATTGAAGTAGATGAACTAAAAAATGTCACACTTAGCGAACTTATTAAGATTTAATATGTTTAAGTAATGAAATTTTAAAAGCAATATAAAGTAGACATCTCATGTCTTCTGGAAGGGAATTCCAGTCTGTAAATGCACTACTAAAGGATCTGAGTAGACCCCAGTTCGTGTTTGATCTAATAGATCTAATAGTTTCCTTGGAGCGGGTGTTATGGCTATGATAGTTTGAGCCTCTAGTAATCATACTGTTTCTTTCACTGTCATTATTAAAATTATGCATAAAAAGACACCGTTGCATTAATCTTCTGGTTGATAGATTCATCCAGTTCAGGTCTAGAAGTGCTTGAGTTGAAGAAAAATGCGTCGCTCGATCCAGAACTAGCTTGGCTGCTTTATTCTGAAGAACTTGGATAGAATCCATTAAAACTTTGTCATTTTTGTCACCCAATACGATACTTGCATATTCAAGAATAGAAATGACCATTGTTGACACATAGATCCTTCTTGCATTATCTGGGAGAAGATGCTTGATTCGTTTTAAGACACCTAATCTCTTTGCTATTTTACTTTGTAGTTGTTCAATGTGGTCATGCCAAGTAAGATGCTGGTTTATGATCACTCCAAGATACTTGATGATACTCCAAGATACTTGATGACCATAAACTTCGATTTAGTAACGTTTAGTGTCAGCTTATTGTCATGTAACCAAGATGTAATAGCTGCCAGTCTGCATTGAGCTTTGATTGCAAATTGGTTGGCGAGTTCTCATGACAATAAAATGCCATGTCATCAGCAAAAATCGTCATCTTTGAGTACTGCAGTTCAGATTGAATGCCATTAATATACACCATAACAATGGCCCAAAAATGCTGCCCTGTGGTACTCCCAAGGCGATTTTTACTGGGGGAGACAATGCATTAACACACATCGTTTGTTGAACTCGACCAGAGAGATGTGAGCGGAACCATTCCAAACTTTTCCCTGCTACTCCTAGTGACTTGAGTTTGTTGATGGGGAGCAGATGATCAACAGTGTCAAACGCCTTGCGAAGGTCCAGGAACACTGTTCTCGTCACGCATCCTTTGTCCATACTTTCTAGGACTTGATCTGTAAAGGTGATTAAGGCAGTGGAAGTTGAACGCTTTAGTCGGAAGCCAAACTGTGATTGTGATAATAATTTGTTTTCTTCTGGAAAGGAACTTAACTGAATATGTGCTGATCTCTCTATGATCTTGCTTATAGTTGGTAAGATTGATATCGGTCGATAAGTATCCTTTAATGACTTATCTCCATCTTTAAATAATGTAGTGACTTTTGCACACTTCCAGACCCCTGCAAATATATGGATATGATATATGGAGAAACGCCAAGCGGCGGGTGAAATAACCTCCACTTTTTGAATAACACTCTTTACGGGAGTCACATGGCGTTAATCATAGCGGCCTGACGCGTCTTTAATAGCTCCGCCATTACTGGCAAAACATTTTTGCCTATGTAGACATCAGCACTTATGTTTTGCTCTTGATGTCTGCATAATTTATCAAATTGTAACAATACAAAACTAGCATCTAACTCGGAAACCTAACGGTTTATTTAGATGCTAGGCATTTTCTTACCTGTAACGTATTTTTAATTTTATTAATATGATATTGCTTCTTTGTATGTAACTGACCGTTAGCCTAAAAATACCTTATGTAGCTATAATTATTCTAAAGCGAAATGTACATAAAGTTTGTTGTTGTTACGCCTGCGACCGAGAAAAGCGCGTTAAAATCAAAAGAAATAACAACTTGTTTGGTCTGTCAGAGGATTCATGCTGAAGGAAAGAATGCTTTTGATTTTGCCAAACGTGAACAGCTTCATTTTAGTACTGATATATAAGTTTTGCCGTTAATTTTGTCAGGAATTATATGTTGAAGATGACATTGCAATTGTGAGACGTGCCGCTAGAAAGAAAGGTTTTCGGAATATAGTCAAATCTAGGGATAAAATTTGTCGTTTAATTACAAAAATTAACTAAAGGCACTCTTACTGCTACTTTTTTCCCCCAAAGAAAATTTAGGAAAGGTTACAGAAGACACACTCATTAGTGGTATTGTATTTTCAACTAGAATACTTTTGTATCCGGATGGACCCAAGTTTAGGGCCCGTTTATGTGGACTAAAGTTGTCCCGTGTAGAAGGGTCATCCGCCTATCCCAGATACCCTAGGCAAGCCAACATTTTGTACATTTCCTTGGAAAACGTGACGAATGGTTTATATGAGAAAAAAAAGTTGGCGTGGCTATAAGCTATTTGTGATGGTTGGGTCACCAGATTCAGATTCAGGTTCATTTATTTCACACTATTTACAGAGAATAACATGGAAAGAAACATATAGTTACAACAGATGATAACAAAATAAAATGATGTGTGTGGTGGTCAACGTAGCGAAAGCCTTCTAGTTGACCACATCTACTTTTAAATAAAACGAAGAAATGACACTAAGCTTTGCATATAGTAGAGAACGTTTGTAGAGCCTAGGACTAATGTACAGGACAATATTACATGTATATAAAGGTACGTTAGAGATATACTGAACCAAAAGAGAAATCACAACAAAACAAACTAGCAAAAAAAAAAAAGAAAGAAAAGAAAACAACAACGACATCACAGCAGCGAGAGCAAAGACAAAATTAATACAAGCAGACAATTAACAATTACTAGACTAGGTTGAGAAAAATATCGTGATTTGTCTGTGGCTCTGCGAGACACTGACAAATCACGATATTTTGCGATAACCGAGTTCAATAATTGTTTTATCATTGGATCACTGCGTTTGTTTTTTTAATGAATATCCTTGGGAAGCGAAGCGATGTGCCATTTTCACGCAAGAGCGATCGCAAGAAGGAGGAAAGCACGGTTTCCTTTACGCATGAGCAGGAATATTATTTGCAGCCAAACACTGTTGAACGGCATTGCGAATGAGCAGACCATGATTTGTAAGAAATTATTTGCAGGTCACATGGTGAACCCGCGGCCAGTGAATGATAATTATTATTATTTTTAACACTATTGTTAACAATAGATAGTTAGTTATAGATTTGATTATTAAACAGGACCAATGTTATTTGAATGACAAGAGATCAGGTGGGCCTTATAAAGTTTCTTAAACTTGTTAAACTTTTTGGCTTGTTTCAGTGACAAGGGGACAGTTTCATCAGTTTCCCACATGACAGAAGCAGAGTACTTGAAATTAAATTTACTTATGTTAGTGCTAACTTTTGGTCGGTAGAAATTATACTTAGCGTAATTTCTGCTGTTATAGGAGTGGACAGTGGTTGTAGGTGTTAAGAAATTATGTAAGACTGCTGGAACAGTTGATGGATTGCTGTATAATTTAAATGCCAATGAGCAGATTGTGAATCAGTAACAACATTTTAAAATTTCAAGGATTTGGTAGTATGGGAGAGAGGGCTCTTGTTTGTTTGCAAAAAAATACGCGAATACATTTATTTTGCTTAGTACAGATCTTATTTAAATTAGTCTGATAAGTGTTGCCTCAACACATTGCTCCGTAATTAAGATAGGGGTTAATAAGTGCATAATAAAGTTGCCTTAGCATCTTTAAATTCAGGTAATTCCGAAGTTGGTAGAGTATTCCAAGGTTTTTAGTCAGTTTGCCTTGTACAGGTGCTATTTGAGTTTTCCAGTTCAAATGCTCATCTAAATAAATGCCTAAAGTTTTTAGCCTCCCACGCAGACGTTCCTTCGGGTTCGTCACGCGTTCCTGCCCCACGAACGTCTGCTGACTTGAGCGGAAAAAAACGTAGACCAATCACAGCAGACTTCCAGATCTGGGAAGTGCACTTTGGACCCTGAGAAATTTCGCGCTTGACTGTATAGCTCCAGAAAGGATCAGAAAGGCCTCATGAAAGGTGAAGCCCTCACAGTTTTAGAACAAACTACTCAGTCAACTCACAAGCGTTCTTACTAGTGGCTACCCCTACAATCTCATTGAAAAAAAATACCTGGGAGGTTAAATTTGCTGAACGGAAGTCGGCTTTACTACAAAACAATAACATGTGAAACAAAATTCTGCCTTTTGTTCAGTCTTACAAGGTAATCCCGTCGTTGCATCACCCAAAGAACAACTTTATGAGCAAACGACATCTAATCCAGCCTTTACAGAGATACAACAACCCATCGCTTATCTCCTAGATTCTCGTCTGGAGCAAAAATCTTAGGTCACGTATCACACTCTACAGAGCTTGTACGTATGTGTTTGGCTTGTCAACACTACTGGGGAAACCTTCGACAACGCCCGATTCAGACTTTGCGTCAGTTCTCACCTCTACTGATTGTTCGAATTCAGAGGTTGGGCTTTCGGTGAATTCTCCATGGTACCAAACATTGGAGTGCTCTCAGTAATACGACTGATGGTTGGTAATCACGATTTTGACTTGCAATTTTATTTCGATTCCACAAGGTTTAGATGTTGCAAAGGATGCGCTTATCACTTTCTGTTTCACGCGTGTATCTTGTGATATTCAAATCCGTCAGCTCATAAATGATATCAAATGCTCAAGTGCATTAGCTGACTGTGTACCTTTAAGCCGTAATGCACGTAAAGCAACAGTGATTAATATCAGGATATTACTTAAAGCCACTTCCTACTTTTCAGGGACACCTAACGAGAATATAGTTCAAAACCACATAAACATAGTATTGTTAAACGTATTTTAGTATTTAAACGGTAGATATAGGCATATTTTTATCCCCTAAAAATTTTTCATCTGTTCGAATTTCCTAGCTGAAAGTCTAGTGATCCGAAAATTATAGGGATCAAAACTTACCTTTTCGAAAATTTCAGCCAGAAAAAAGGCTCCCGAAAATTCTAGGTGACTTTTTTAGGGTAAAAATCCGTTAAAAATGGGCAATTATGCCATTTTTTAGATGTTCGAAAATCCTAGAAGAGGCAGACAAGCAAGAAACTTTACAACAAATGTTCCGAAAATTCTAAATCTCAAATCGTCTTCCGAACAGATATTTTCCAAAAATTGACGTTGGGTGCCCCTGACTTTTCTCCATCACTTCATTGTGTTTGGATTTTAATTTTTTCAGTAGTGAACTACTGAGTTTATCATTGTCTGAACGACAATGACGACAATACCCCACGATCCTTTTGTCGTTATCTTATCACAAATATTTCAGGGCTTTCATTAAGAGGCGGGGGTCGGGGATTTTCCTCGGCTACTATGAACATGGGCCCCGGCTAGTTTTAAAGGAAAATAAAATAATAATAGAGCCAAAAGAAACCCCTAGCTGTTTGATCCCCCCGCCCCCCTACTTGTTGTATTTACCCTGCAACTTGAAATCTTAGTGACAACCCGGAGGAACTAGTGATAAAGATATTAGAAATGATTTTACGATTTTATACGTAGGTTATCGCCAAGAACGAGGTGGCCGCCAAAATCGTCCGAGTTTATATGCCGATGTTGTGGGTAATACCAGGGAGGACTCCCATATAAAAGTGAAGGGGATGCTCGTCGGAAAATTAAACCCCTGAGGGAGGCCAATGTGGGTGTGGCTCAAGCTTAAACCGACCCTTAAAGGAGATTTCTGTGAGGTCAGCGTCACGGCCTTTTTTTGCAAATTTCTTTATGTACAGCCCTGAGCGATACCTGAATGAGCATATTTAGTCACTTTTCGTCTCAAACAACCTGAATGAGTGGGAGTAACTTCTGGTCAATGCAGACTGGACCACATTTGAAACTAGAAGAGGTTGGTTCTGAAACGATATTTTTCCGTCTTCATATAACAGACTTAAAAAGAATGTTCGGTGCAGCGGGAAATTAAATGAAGCTTGGAAAGGTATCTTTTACTTGGTGAGTTAATTTTTGAACAATATATATCATTGGCAAAGGGGAAAAGGGGAATTGTAATATAGTTTTGGTGGGAAAATGAAGCATATCTTACTTAAAAGTGGAAAGTATTTTAATAACTGAGGATTTTCTGGTGACAGCACCCAGTACTGTCGCCCAACGGAAATTGAAAATTTGACTAAATTTGAGTTGAAACATTCAATTCTGAATCGCGATGTGCCGCAAGTTTTATTGCATGACTTGACAAAATAGCTATTAATATTTAACTAAAACATGTCTTTTGGTCTGCCTTAGGTGCCACATTGGAGAATTTTCTGATGATTTTGAGGCATTTATTCGTGCATTTTGCTTTCTTAATTTGATTAGTGAAATAAAGACGACCAGTTTGTGCTGATTACAGAGAGATAGTAGTATTGATGGTAAAAATATAAGGCAAAAGTTTTGTCGAGTCTGAAATCGAGTGGAACGCTTTTAGGGAGACTGCCTCTTAAATCGTTCTGTTATTCGCACATGTGGCACCGACAAAAGCAAAGCTGTGATTGGAGGAGTCACCGTACCATAACAGTGCCGAGAACACCTTCCAGCTTAAATCTGACTGGATAATATGGGATTTTCAGCTGTCGTTTGTGGGCAGGAGTGTTACGTGAAGACACAAAGAACAAGGGCTTTACGGCTGTGAAGCAGACTAAGGGCATGCTCGAGTGCTATTGGCTTGGGCAAGGGGGACCACTTTTTTTCTCATGTAAACGCTCCCTTAAAGGGACAGTCACAGTCAGCTGATGCACATGAGCATTAGATACCATTTCTTAGCTGATTTGCATATCACAAGACACGCGCGTGAAACAGAAAGTGAGAAGCGCATCCAGAATAATTCAAACAAACCCTTCAGCGTTGAACTTGTTACAAGCCGAAATCGTGATTATAGACCCTATGCCATATCAGAGAGACTGGGTCGAGCGACGAGTGAGGTCGGTAATTTCAGAGTGAGCTCCGTGGAGCGAGAGGCTTTTTTTTTTTCTTTAAAGTACTATTTGAAATGAAACTTAGCAGCAATGGGAAGAACTAGATGAAGACATGAGCTAAGCAGTTCTTCAAGTAGCGAGAATTCACCGAGGCAAGAAGCAAAACAGAATCCTGCAGATGCTGACGTGGCTGCAATGGGGTGCTCTGCGGACAAGCAAGACGACACTAATCCTTTCCCTCTTGACGTGTGAAACGCTTTGAAGAGAATCGAGAACAACACTGACAGTCTAATTAAGGACATAAAAGATCTTCAAAATAATCACTCGAATTTTCTCAGGCCAAGATAGACGAACTAACAAAGAGCAATTCCGACCTGCAAGCGAAGACATGAAGATTCGGACAGCAGAATGAGGAGGAAAAGCTTTTTCTCCCATGGCACGGATCATTCGAAGGGAGTCACAATGCTGATCAATCCAGCATGAAATTTTCAAGTATCCATTGTTAATAGATTCCCACGCGAGGTACTTAATCACTAAACTCCGAGTAGAGCATACAATCTTTTATGTGATTAATGTATATGCACCAAATGATTACCGCGAAGAGGAACAATTTATCAGAATCTCAGGTGAAAAACTTGTCTCCAAAACTGACACCACAAAATTAATCATTTCAGGTGACTGGGACGCCACCCTAAACAAAACTGATAAATGGGGAAGATTGCCCTGGAAAGAAACCACATGTAGAAACTCATTATTGACCTGATGGAAGAACTCGATTTACTAGATATTTATAGGCAATTCTACGAAGACACCAAATCATTTACGTACGACATTAAAAATTCAAAGTTGAATTTGCCTTTTTCCTCAAATCTCGCACTATCTGATATAATGTTAAAAGAACCGAGGTGCGCTCTTCCATAGCACAAGACCACAAAGCAATTCTTTTGGGTATGGAGTTACAAAGTGAGCTTAAAAGAGGGCCTAGGACGTGGAAATTCAATAATACTTTATTTGGAAGATGAAAACTATATAGATTTAATAAGTCTTATTCATACCCTCGGACACTAGAAAAATACAAAGATGTAGAAAGCAAACAACTTCTTTAGGAATTGATAAAGATGGAACTTCGAGCCAAGACCATGAACTATTCTAAGAAAAAAACACCTGAGGTTAAAAAACGTAAGATTGTCCTCCAACACAATTTAGATGAACTGGACTATAAAATTTGCAATGAAGCCGATTTAAACCCTCATATCCTAGATCAATATGAGGCAGAGAAAAACGAATTGGATTCTTTGTACGAATGAAAAGGTAAAGAGACAAGTTTTAGATCCAACGTTAATAATAAGCGGATAGAAGAAGGCGAAAAACCAGCAAAGTATTTTTTTAATCTAGAAAAGAAAAACTATGTAGCGAAAACCTTGCTTCAAATTCAGTTAGATAATGGTAAAATCACTTAGGATATGAAAAAGATAAATAAAGAAATAGAGGTGTTTTGAACAAAAATTAGGCCTCAATGATTTTATTCAAAACTTGAAAATTCCACGTCTGTCTAACGAGGAACAAGCGACGTTTGAACATGACTTAACTGTACAAGAAATTAAAAATATGTTACATTCTTTTGAGAAAGATAAAACTCCTGGTAAAAACGGTTTCACCAAAGAGTTCTACGAAAAGTTCTTTGACCGTTTAAAACAGAATCTACTTGATTCGTGTAATGAAGCTTTTCAGAAAGACAGTCTCTCAGTATCCCAGAGAAGAGGAGTAATTTCTTTAATCCCAAAAAATGACAGCGATCTGTCAGAGCTTACTGGATGGCGCCCAATAACGTTGATTAATGTTGATTACAAAATCCTGGCAAAGTGTTTTGCAAAAACTTATAGAATCTTTCCTTCCCAAACTAATCCATTCGGACCAAATTTAAGACTTTTGAATGATCTTATGGAATACACGGATGTGAAGAAGATCTCAGGAGTTTTTCTTTTTATCGACTTTGAAAAAGCATTCGATTCCATAGAGTGGAACTTTATAAAAAGAAGCTCAGAATTATTTAATTTGGGGCCATTCTTAACAAGATGGTTCTCAATTCTTTACAGTAATTCCGAGGCAGTAGTGATGAACGCTGGTTACATGACAGACTACTTCACTTTATCAAGAGGAGTTCATCAAGAGTGCCCGCTGATTCCATTCCTCTTTATATTGTCCGCTGAGTTACTTGCCTTGAAAATACGACAAGAGCCAAATTGGAAAGGAATAAGTCTTCCCAACCTTCAAGAGGCTAAAATCTCACAATTTGCCGATGACACTAGTCTCATATCTAAAGACACCAATTCTCTTAAATTCTCGTTACAGATCATCGGAAGTTTCGACAGCATATCTGGTTTACGTCTAAATAAGAAAAAAACCAAAGTAATGTGGATTGGCTCCTAAAAAATATAAAAAAACCCAAAATATTGGAATTTCACAGCGTAAAAGACCCCATGAAAATACTCGGGACGCACTTGTCGTATAACACAGACAAGAACAACGATGCCAACTTCTTCAGCAAGATTCGTAAAATGAAAACTAAACTGAACCTCTGGCAAAGGCGTGACCAAAAGCTTTTTGGCAAATCCGTTCTAGCCAAAACGCTTGGTGCCTCTCAGTTAATCTACACTGCTTTACTTGTGACTGTCCCTGATGCAGTAACACGCGCGGCTCAAAGCCTCCTGTTCTCGTTTTTGTGGAAAAATAAGAAAGATAAAATTAAACGAAATGTTGTAAGCCAGCCACTTAAAAATGGTGGCCTTAATTTTATAAATTTTGAAATTATGGTAAAATCTTTGCGACTAGCCTGGATAGCTAGCCTGATTAGCAACTCTGACGATAATTGGAAGGCAATACCGAATTTCTATTTCGACAAATATGGCGGCCTGCCCTTTCTTCTTAAGTGTAACTACAATACTGCTATTGTAGACAACAATCTACCTTTATTCTACGGTGAGTTATTAGATTATTTCCAAGAACTAATGAAATTCTCAGAACACGATAAAAACAATGACCTCATTCTTTGGGATAATAGGAGAATTACGATAGAAAGGAATAGTGTCTTCTGGAAACAGTGGTTTGATCAGGGTGTTACTTTGTGATTTAATGAACTCAAATAGTAAATTTCTAACCTTCGAAGAATTTCATAATAAATTTGATCTTAAAACTATTTGCACTATTTTCAATTAACTGCTGCCATTCCTCCGGATTTGAAACGAAAGGCATTTGGTCCCCACGGTTCCTGAACTGCTCGGAGCAACTTCAGAGTACTGTCAGATGGAAGATAGAACAATAGTCTTAAACAAATTCCGCTGTAAACATTATTACAGTCTGTTTATCGAGAAACTTGTTTCAGAACTCTCCGCAGTAAGGGCTTGGAAAAAAATCTTTTCAGACCTTCCTGACTGGGGTGATTGTTTTGTGAATATATACAAGTCCTCGAAAGATAATAAGATTAGACAATTCACTTTTAAGGTTGTGCACAGAATAATCACGACAAAGAAAGAACTACTGGAATATAAATTAGCCTGTGATGACAAATGTCCCTTCTGCCTTAATGTAGTTTAATGAGTATCATAAAGAGAACGTACAACTTTCAAACAAGCAAATTTTATTTAACACGCTCGATGACTCCCTTCCAATGCAAATGCTAAATTCAACTCAAAGCAAACATCGTCTGTTGGTTTTACTGCAAAAGACATACTTGTATACTTGCAAGAACATTGTAACGAAACCTAATTTAGATGAATTTTTACGTAAGCTTTTTGAACAATATCGCATTGAAAATTGTGGCAAACAATATTAAATATGTGTGGCAACTGACAGGTTTTTTATCCTTCAATAGTTTTTATTTTTATTGTAATTTGTTTTGTTACTTACTGACTTACTTATTTATTTATTCTTTTACTTTGTGCTGTGTGTTAATGCTGTTAATTTGTTGTCAATTAAAAAAAATATCAGAGCGCTCATTTTTTATATACCATTTATATTGAGAATTTACCTATGGATTTGTCCAGGGAAAGCCAAACACCGACGAATACTTCTGAATTCGATCATCAGCAGAGGTGAGAAATGACACGGAGTCTGCATGAATCATTGTCGAAGGTTCAAGGTCGTGAAAGCTTGATTTTCCAAACATATGTAACCTTTTCCGTCGATTTTCCAAAGATACATATAACGATTATTTGCTTGCCAATGTTATTGATTCATTTCTTTTGTTATTTTGGCAAACGAAGGCGATTTCTCCCACTCGGCGCCTACGCGTTTCTCACCTCTTCTCCTCTTATTCCTTTGGATACCGTTTTTAACCAAATATGATAAAAATAATGCCATAGGATGAGTTAAAGTTTGCTCAAAAAGAGGTTTCTGTTAAAGATCGAGGATCGAATGAAACACTACGCAAGATTGAAGCGGATTTCTAGATGTATCCGACGCGTGCATTTGATTTCGGGGTGAGGTAAAGGCTTTCCAAACTGGCAAAAGTAGTGTCCAGGTCAGCACGGTCCCATAGCTGACTGTGTCCCTTTAAGTTAACTCGGCTGAGAGGGTGACCCTTCTACCCGGGAAAGGTTTTTTCCATATGAACGGGACATCTTCCCGACTACATAATCGTTGGTAGGATTTATTAACATTTTAGCCTGTACGTTTAAGAATTTATCGCCAGGCTTCTGATCCTTCCCTAGATCACATAATGACATAAATCTGACAGTGTCACGTTACAAGAGATGTTTGAGCCTATCCCTTACCTGTGCATACGATATAGGGTCCAAAAATACACATTTAGCCGCCAACATAAAAATGTGTGCGTTACTGAAATTCATACCTTGCAAAATAACTTTTCTTGTCAGTCTGCCGAAGTTTGCATCAAATATGGTGCGGATACATGCGTTTTACAGGTAGGCTTTCTCATTGTATGAAGTTCGCTATCTGAATATGCTACTGACCTTTTCCTAGTATTATAGCACTTCCCTATCATATAGGGAAGTGCTATAATACGCTTGCATGAAACGTAAACAGAGAATGCTACTGAATCAATAAAACAAATTCGTACACCTTAGGCAGGACGTTTAATGTTTTCGAACGTTTGGCCATGTTTTTTGCTACCCGCCTGACACCACTTGTTGAATGATTTTCCTTGCATACTACACTGGTCCTGTTTTCCGCGTCCTTGCCTAATCTCCGGCCTTTGCATTCTTTTTTCTCTCGATCCCTTGTACCCCCTTTGTCCCTCTCTTGACAGTATTTATATATTTTTAAGTTATTGTGGAAGCCCCTTTGGACAAATGTTACACGTTCTTATTCATTCTATAGGAAGATTTGTTTTCTCCTCTTCATGTTGCTTGCATCAACAGTCACTATGAAATGGCAAAACTTTTGCTCTCAAACGGAGCATGCATTGATGCTGAAGATGCAGATGGAATGACGCCGATCTTAAGGTAGTATCAGTCGACTACAGGCATGGGATGGGAAAGAGGGGAGAGAGCTTCCCTGTCCTACCCTCTACTCCTGGTCCTAGCTCACTTCCCCTCCCAAAAATGTCTCAAATCACAAAAATAGATTAAAACAATTTTCCTCCACTTTCAATCGTTTTCCACTAGCTAGGGTACCCTTCGTCTAATCACTCCTTATTCACTATTTGTATATCTCCCATAATACACCTTATCTCCCCCTCCCCAACAGTTTTGCATAATTTTAATTTCCCCTGGTTATTAACAGTCGTCCCAAAGAATTTTAAGCAAACTTTTTTGGGTACAAACAAAGTGTATTATAATAAATCTGCAAATAACGAATACATAAAGCCACAACCTATGAAAAAAATATCATTGTATACAGAATACCTCATGGGAGGTGTGCGCGTACGGTAATTACGCACGAGCTGTTGACGATTGACGTAACAGATATAAAAACAAAGAGTGCGTATTAAATACCGTAAAAAGCGATTTCCATGTGGCATTGTGTTTATTATCTACATTCTGAGACATTCATCATTTTGCCAACCTTTTATTTCAAATGTTTCCAAAATACGTACATGCTAAAACTTGCCGCTGCACTCCGTGAAATGACAAGCATAACGAAGTGCATTAGTAAAAGTGTATGGTAAAAATTATGATGAGAGTAAGGATGAGAGGTAATCCAGGAATTACATGTAATGTTTTGTTCTGAATGTAGAATTAAAAATGAATGATTTTTAGTAAAATGGCCGGTTTTAATACAAACAGAAAACAAAATAGCTCCGATAAAAAGTATAAAATTTAACTTAACTTCAACTCTGACAATCATCAAGCTACGGCTTGACAACCAAGAGGTCCGTAAAACTACTCTCGCACAAGCGCAGTACAATCGACCTAATAAAACTATTCTCTCATGACATCTCCCTCCTTTGAGTTCTTATCGGAAACGGATGGCACAGAAACTTACAAATATATTTTACTCAACTGGATAAATGCATTTTAAGGTGTTTCAATGTAGTTTTTCAGAGGCCATAGCGATATTTTTCAATCGCTTTAAAAGTGATTTTCTCCATGACTAGTACATTTCAGTGAGTATTGTCAATTTTTTGCATTCAAAAGATGCGATAAATTATGTATAGTGCGCATTATTTTGGAAAAATTAGCATAACGTCAAAACAGTGAATGTTGTAACGCAGATTTTTGACCGGTTCGTAGGATAGGTTTGTCTTGAAATTTCAAGGTGTTGCAGTGAATCAATCTCAATGAAAGTTTCAGACTTATGAAGATTATGTGAAGAGATTTTTAAAAAATTCGCTCGAGTCGTTTCGGAGATATACAAGAAAGCGCTAAAAGTCCAAATTCTAAATGAAGTTGCACTTATACAGTTGGTGAGAAAACGGGTTAGAACGAAAGTACACCAAGTTTTTTGTTTATTGTTGACATAGTAATATCGATTTTACTAAAACCTGCATTTTCACAAATTTCAATCCATAGCCAGTTACTGGTGAAAATTTTATAGCGATCGGACAAGGAAAAAAACACTTTTAAGGAGATTGAAAAACATCGGTATGGCCTCTGAAAAACTGTATCGAAACACCTCAAGTTTGAACCATCGGTGTCCTTATTACTGTTTACATTCCAAGAACACAAATCAGGCACATTCTGTAGAACGGGCAGGTTTTCTCACAACACGGCAGTTAGAGGTCTTAACTTCTGGCTAAAGAGAACTAGGCTGTGTGTTTGTAGAAGAGGGTACAGCGGACGTCACTCTTTAAGGCCCCGCAATCTGAGGCGGTGTCCTGATTGGGTAAGTGAAGACCCTCGCGATGTGGCTCACCTCTCTCAGGACTGATCGCTATGTGCAGGTGTCTGCGGTTTCTATGCATCTCTCTGAAATGTGTCTGGATGACATATGACTGCGGAGTAAGGCTCCTAGCAATGACTTTCCCAGACGTTTTCCATCCTTTCTGCTGATCTAACTTCACACGAACTGAGTCACCTGGCTGTAGGACGGAAAGGGGTCGGACTCCATGTCTCTTGTCGAAGAACTGACAGTATGCAGTTTTGGATTCCTCGTACTGCTCTAGCTGCTTCATGGCTCGGAAGAACCGGTTTCAAGTTGGATTCCAATGTAGTCAGGGGGTGCGGATTTCTCTTCCCGTCATCAACTGGCAAGGGCTTAAACCTACGGATGTGTAAGGTGTAGCTCTGCACGACATAAGTAAAAGAAAGGGATCACGCTGCTTTAGTATCTTCTTGGCGATAACTGATCATTCTAAGCAGCTGGCGCAGTTCTGATACATTCTTTGGTACTGGGAGTTCCTCGAAAGCTATAACCTTCTCTGGTTCGGGGCCCAGTCCTTTTTCAGTGATTACGTTTCCAAAGTAGCATATTTTAGGCTCACGGATTTCGCACTTCTTTTTATTAAGCTTCAGAGCAGACTCCGCAATGGTCCTGAAAACTATCTGAAGGCTTACGTCTGGGACAGTTTTTCTCATTGGCAATAACGTCATCTTGGATGGCTTCCACGCCGTTTTTAAGAGGTTTGTCATTTTTTTCTGAAAAGTTTCTGGAACGGATGTAATCCAGAAAGGCAATCGGCGAAAACGGAAACGGTCACTGGGAGTGATGAAAGTTGTCAACCTTGAGCTGTTCGGGTGCAAAGGTATCTGCCATTAACTACTTGACGCTTCTAATTTAGAGAATACTTTGGCTCTTGCTAACTTTGAATCGACATCTTCTCAGTTAAGTAGAATGTACCTTTCCCTCTTAACTGCTTCATTATATTTCCCAAGCTCATCGCAAATTCTGACTTTCCCGTTGGGCTTAACAACCGAGACCATAGGAGCACACCAGTTGTTCGGTTCTGTAACTTCTTCTATAATATCTTCTTCCAACATGAGGTCGAGTTCTCTTTCACTTCAGGAAGCAAGTTTAGTTTCGGACACTCAGGTAGGGCTTGATAAGCCGATTCAGATATCAACGAAATGTCTGCTCCTTTGTCAGTTGCGGCATAGACTTCCGGTTGACGCACGCTATCTGGGAACGTGAAGGTTTTAAATATGTGTTCCGCTTTTTTGCCCATGGGCATTTATCTGAAGAACCTCGTCTTCGGCGATGAGTTTTGTAGCGCATCTGAACCGCTGAAAACGCTGTTTCCAATCTAGCCAATTTTCCAGCTTTGAGAAGTCGAGTTTCTCCGGCAGGTCGAGCTTCAACATTTCTTCTACTTTACCGCTGCCACAATATCAAAACGACGTTACACACGGGCAACAGGAACAATAACAAGAAAATTCTAAACGAAGAACGCTTTATGTGTTAATCTTGCACTCTGATCCTCATCAAGCTACGGCTTGACTAGCACGAGGTCGGTAAAACTACTCTTGCACATGCGCAATACAATCGACCTAATTAAACTATGACAATCAACAATCCCCTTACCTTACATTACACTTTATATTAGTACCTTATATTATGTTATTATGATTATTGATTATTATGATTATTATGATTATTATTATCATTATAAGTATACATGATTTAAGAACAATAAGTAATATTTTACAATTTTAAATTATATCGTGTTGTTTGCAAATTAAAAACTAAATATATGACAACAATGCTAACTATTAAAATCCTGTTTACAATTAATTCGCTTGAAAAAAAGAAAGGAAAAAAATTATTCATTCAAAACACTATTTACCATTCCTGTCGATTTAAAAAGCACTCAATTGAGCTTAGAAAGAGTTAATTTAACTAAGAAAAATTTATTCGAATTAAAAAACATTTCTTTTCAATTAAAAAAAAAAACATCAAAAATCTAGGCCTAAAATTATGAATACAGGTGTAGACCAGCTATAGCGAGAGTGAAGTCTTCTGAGACCTCACGTGATTTGAATGGATATCTAGAACCTCTGACGCATCTGTGTACCGTTCTTAATATAGCAAACGAAAGCTGTATTCTAAGCCAGGAAATAACGCTGGCGTAGGGTTCATCGTTCTTATTCGAAAGCTTATTTGCGAGAGTTCTTAAAAAGTTCTGACAGTCGAGTCCCATGCCCCCGTTTGTACCAAACACCAGTGGTGTAAAGGTTCCCATCTCTACATCCATCACTCTCTGGTTGTATTTCCTCTTCTTCTCGTTTTCTTGCTCTTTGAAGATCGTAGCTATATAATAATATTTGCCACTTTATTTACTATCATTCAGGGCGTCCTTAGCAGGAAATGTGGAGATAATTGAACTTTTACTTGCAAAGGTAAGTGAATAAAATACATTTGAAGCAGAAGTAAACTGTTAACCTTCTACACATAGTAACAATAGTATGTATCGATTGTCATTTGGCTGCTTCCGCGAGCAGGCAAGATGACGCAAGCGGGTAAGATGGGTCTTTCTTGCCCCGCCCGGGATTTCTCGCGTTGGTTCCTGCAAGAAAAAAGTTCTACCGGTCATACAATAAAGCCTTTATTTCCCAAGATTTTTCGGTCCAGATTGCTGGCAGGTGGCCAGCCAAGTTCCTTTTAAGGATTTTTAACAATAATGAGTAAGTATATAATTGGGGTAAGACCAAGGCCTGATTGCCCCTGTTTCTTTCTACTTTTGCTACTCAGTTTTAACGTAGGCCAATCAAGCGTTTCTACATAAAAAGTGTTCGCTGGATGCGTAGATAATATTTTCAGTCATTTACCTCGCATCTGGAAAAGGATTTAGTTTCTTGTCCACCAATTTAGTCCCAGTATAAAATGCTTTAACATACCAAGCATTCGATTAAGCTTATAAGGCTCGTTTCCTAAATACAGGCCTTTGAAAGCGGCTCCGGGCAAAAAAGTCCAAAGGACAATTTATTATCCTAACACAACTGCTTCCTTCAACTTGGAACTAATTGGCGACCTGAACCTCCAGATAAACCCTGGACCAACACCTAATGGAGCAATAGCGATACTGACGCTGACGTCACCTATTGATATCAATGTGCCAACCAGAAGTACCTTGATTCTTATAACAAAAGATTATTTTGTTTTACTCTTTACAAATTTGAATAACAAAAAACAAAGCATTTAAACAGTGATGTCTCGTACACTGGTTATTATCTCACAGAGTGCTCTACGTACTCATGCCTTACGGCCAGCGAATGGGACGTAGAAAACCTCTCGCCCAACTTGGATTAAAAAAAAACGCCAGATAAGTGCAGTAATTTTTAAGAATTTGTCTTATATAAATGCACAAGAAACATACAACAAATTGGCTTCGTGTCCATCGATTTCTGTTTGTTGAACACTAGATCAATCATTCATAACGAACTCGCTATCAAAGATAACGTGGTCGAGAATGATCTTGACATTTTCGCACTCACTGAGAAAAGGCTTAAGGATGTTGACAATTTTTCTGCCGCTGAGATTGTTCCCAGTGGATGTCAATACTAACAAGTTCGACGAAAGAATTCACGTAGTGGCTGCGCAGGTTGACGTTTTCAGTTAAGAAAACGCATCCAAGTGAAGAAACATACACTCGAAACGAGTTCAAGGTTTTTTAATACATCGATATTTTGGCCAAATGCTCTACTAGTTGCGTGAAAATTGTTACCATCTACATATCACCGCCATCAAGCCATCAGAGAATCATGTGAACAGAGGCTCTCTTGTTGAAAAGGTAGTTGTGTTTCATTGCAACCTGCCAATAGTTGGTGATTTTAATTGCTATGTGGATAACACTGGTGATTCAGATTTTATCAAATTCAACAGGATTGCGGAATTAATTAACCTGAAACAGCATGATAATTGTTCAACCCACATTAAAGGCCGCACTTTAGTTCTTAACCTTCGCCCCCCCCCCCGACCCCCGGACGGTCTGCTACAATGTTTCTCCACGACGGGAGTACTGCTCCGCCCATCAAATATCATTCAAAATGCCCTTAAATCTTAGAAAAGGACGACCAACTCTTCTAGAACTCTCTTCTCCATAGAGAAGTGCCTTTATTGACCGTTCATCTGGCATGAGAGCAACATGGCCCAACCAAGGCAATCTATTTGTGATCAGAGTGATCTCAACATCTGTGGTATGAGTAAGATCCAACACCTCATCGTTTGTGATGAAGTGATCTCATCTGATGTTAAAAAAATATCTCAGATGTTCTTGGTGGACGGTTCTGAGGAGCTAATGTGGTAACGGTAAAGAGTCCAGGTTTCGCTATCATCAATCATTAGATGGATGACGCACTGAATGTACACTATGAGTTTTATTTCTACTATCAGGTTTCTGCAGTCGAAAACCCTTTCCCGAAGTCTTCCAATAGCGCATGACGCAGTCTGAATCCGTGCAGTGATCTCTACATCTACTTTGCAGTCTTTGGTAACTACCAAGATGTTTAAAGCGGTCCACTCTCTTCAACTTGTGTCCATCAATGTAGCAGTCGATCTGTTCACCCACACTCATGATTTAAAACAGAAGGATTATCTAACTGACAACTTTGAGGAATCTCTTCAGCATGCTTGCAAACCCTCCTATAGTACCTGATAAAAGCGCAAAATGACATTCTTTGTGCACTTGATGGCCAAAAATGTTGTACTCTTATTATTAGATATGTCGGCAGCGTATGACACCGAATGGCAAATAGTAAGAGATCTTTGCGAATAGCAAGAAGAACATGGACCTTAATTTCGTCTAGGTTCGTGAAATGTACATGAGGCAATATCCTACCACCCTGATTGGAAAATCTTGGTCATTAATGCATATGTGATCTGGTAGAGGGTAAATGAAAATCAAGTAATCAATCAATCAATCAGTCGATAAATTAATCAAAGTTTTATTAAAAAGTCTTAATGTTTGTTAACCCATAAATATTATTCTTCTAGTGAACCGTTTACGTAACAAATTTCAAGAGAAGAAAAGAAAACATTTTTTCTTTTCCCACCAACAATTTTCAGTATAATATTAAAAAACAGACATTTTTTAATGGGGCTCCGTTGTTTGAAAAGGCGCATTAAACCGTGAAAAACTTTCTGCCATAACATTTTCAATTTTAACGCGACGGCTTTGAAGCTTTGAGAAGAACTACTGCTATCATTCAGCAATAATTATATAAAATAATCCCATTTTAAGTGGACTCTACTTTTCAAAGAAAATAGCGTCTAGTGATATAATAATTAGGCCAAATAAATTTCAGACTTCGGTCCCTGAAAAGCTGTAAACTTGTCCAGGATCGCATCAGGTTTCCCCTTTTCCTCATTGTTGAAGTCGAAAGAATTGAAGGTTTTTCGGCCCTCCTCGCAAATCCAAAGTAGAATAAAGGTTGCCTTCACTTTGTCCTCTGTCCTGTTCAAAGGCCCATCAAAAGATTAGCTGATAATATTGTTTTAAGCTTTTAAACGTCGTGAATGGTCAGAGTCAAGCTGAGTCATTCCATTCCATTTGAGGCGGCTTAATTCCCGAAAGCTCGCCCAAGGCTGTAGAATAGGGACTTTAAGATAGGTCACTACGGACGCCTGGGACGGTTGGATAGATGTCACGTCACGCAAAACACGCGTGACCTTTTACCGTCGTCCTTCTGGGACGGTATGTTTTCGCCGGGTTTCTCGTCGTGAAGACAACGGTGAAACCGATAAGAGTTCATGCAAACGTATTGTCACTTTTCTTCTAAAACTGAGTAGCCAATGGGTTAAATATGCGTTGGCTTGTGTTTACATTGATTTAGCTATCGGTGAAATGAAAAAAAAAAAAGCGAAAATGTCTGAGTTCAAGCTTAGCTCGCGGCCGCATGGCGACTGCTTGTTTTTTCCTAATGGCGTCCGCCATGGCAGAGGGAAATTGCCGAAAAGAAAGGTAAAGCCCAGTTCAAACGTCGACCTTTTCATGTACCGAACTTAATACCTATTTAGATCGACCCAAATGACATAAGTTCGAGGTTGATTCCGACGTGGAACTTTATATTAGGTCGAACTCGATTCATTTTCACGATGTTCAATGGTCTAGAAGGCTTTAGTAATTTGTGCATTAGTTTCGGCAAATGAGAAATTCGACGTTTGAACTGGCCCTAACGGTGATGATTGTAGCCGTCTTTTTTTTAACTTAAAACTGTATTTTTATCAAGAAAAGATTTCTTTAACTTAAAAGGTGTTGGCTTAGGAAAGGAAAGTTCAAGTAATAACATCGACTCAGGGGCACCCAACGAGGATATAGTTCAAAACCACTTAACATAGCATTGTTGAACGTATTTTAGTATTTAAACGGTAGATATAGGCATATTTTTATCCCCTAAAAACTTTTCATCTGTTCGGATTTCCTAGCTGAAAGTCTAGTGATCCGAAAATTATAGGGATCAAAACTTACCTTTTCGAAAATTTCAGCCAGAAAAAAGGCTCCCGAAAATTCTAGGTGGCCTTTTTTAGGGTAAATATCCGTTTAAAATGGGTAATTATACCATTTTGTAGATCTTCGAAAATCCTAGGAGAGGCAGGCAAGCAAGAAATTTTGCAACAAATGTTCCGAAAATTCTAGTTCTCAAATCGTCTTCCGAACAGATATTTTCCCGAAAATTGCCGTTGGGTGCCCTTGTCGACTAATTTGAAAACTAGCTAGCTTTAATTTGTACCCTTATTCTTCTGATTGGTATTCTTCGTGTAAAATAAGAATCTCTTTTTCAGTAATTGAGCCCTCTACGAAAGAAATTACAAGCGAGTTTCGCACATGACTTCACCGTCCTCTGTTTTGTTGTCCGATCTTAAATTGAAAATTTTCGCTCCTTCTTAACGTCATGGCGCCAGGCCGCCCGAAAACGCATCCAACCGTCCCAGCCTACCGTAGTGACCTATCTTAAAGTCCCTAATAAGTAACGGCCGACGGAACATACTTGGCTGCACACTACGAATGGGTCACTTTGTAATCCCTGTTCATTGCAACCATCTGAAAGTTGCAGATGTGAAAACGTCACTAGGCTCGTAAAACTATCCCACCGCTGCCGCCATGTAAAGATAAGCTAGATAAACGAACACACCTTTTTATACCGAGTATGACAAAATGGTGGGCCCAAAGACACAGAACTACGCACTAGTCCCTGCGCGTAAAGCTAGGCATACTATGAAATTTCATGGATCTTGAGGGAATGAGATTTTCTTAAAATAGTGAAAAACGGGTTCCCGACATCGAGACACGCGTCAGCGACTTCCATCCGGCACTCCCGTCCTCCAACCCACCACTGGCGACCATTAGTTAAACTCTTTGTACACATCGTTTAAAACCCAATAAGTTATGGCAAAAAGTTTGTCAGTTTTCAATCCGCTGTCTTTTTTCATAATTATTTATATTATGCTATTTCTCCCAGTATTGCCCGATTGATCAACATGTCGTTCTCCACGGGAAAGTTCCCGTCACGCTGGAAAACAGCAAAGGTAACACCCTTACTCAAGAGTGGCGAAGAGTGAGATCCATCGCCCTATTTCTGTTTTACTGGCGCTGCCGAAGATCATCGAACGTCATATGCATGACTCGCTGTACACATTTCTCAATGAAAATAACCTCATGTATCCCAGGCGGTCAGGCTTTCGTAAACACCATAGTACAGAGACTGCACTTATGAAGACAATCGATGATCTCTTGTTCAACCTGGTGTTACGGCCCATGGTCGTACTCGCACTCGGGTCCTTAAAAGCCCCGTGAGACTGGACCTGTGAGAGTAGAATAAATTACGTAGATAAAACGTCACGTGACTTCCTTGCTAGTCGTTCGTAGATTTGTTGTAAGTCGGGTTCCCGGGCAGTACATCAACCTGTTGTAAATCGGTGTATTGTAAACCGAGCGGATTAAAGTTGTGTTCAAGCGTTCAAGTTTGCATTCCATCGCTTCCTTAACACTTGGATAATGATAAGGTATCGGATTTGGTGCTTGTTGACTGTCGCAAAGAGTTCGATATGGTTGACCACGGACTTCTGTTAATTAAAAGAAGCTAGAGGACTTATTAGTAAGTTAGTTTAGTCCGGAAGTTTGTAAATAGCAATGTTGTTAAACTGTATATAGTTCTTATCGTATTTCTCTTCAAATTTTTAGCTAATTCTAATTTTAAATATTTTGCATTTGATATTCTTTGTATATTCTATTGCAATATTTGTTTGTAAAATCTCTTATGAGGGCCACAAGTTTATTAGTTTGTTAGTCTATAAAGGCTGTACTTACTTATATTTGTAATGTCATGACACGGTCGGTCCGACCGAGTGAAAAATTGGACTGGTTGGACACTAAAGTATTCGTTAAAGTTAAAATTAACATCTAATCACCTCTTTTCCACAAGACTGGTGACGAGGGCTCTTTTAAAAAGTAGTTCTTACGTCCAATTAGTATCCTTAACACATTTTCTAACACTTATTTTTCTCTAGGGAGCAGACATTTCACCCGAGGTTGACGCTTGCTCCCCATCACCACTGATGTGCGCTGTAAAGAGAGGTCATCATGAAGCCGTTAGCTTTCTCCTGCAACACGGATCGCCAATTGATCTGAAAGACTCGAAGCATAGAACGTGTTTACATGTGGCCGTTTACAGCTCTGATACGAAGACACTTAAAATTATTATTCAGGTCAAAAGGCTAGATATAAATCTTAACATGGTCCTGAAGATCAGAGCAATTGGCGCAAACGTCTTATGATGTTGGATGCAAAATAGTTAAAGTCAATTTTAACGAGTCTGTTAGGGTAGAGTTTATAAATGTCTTTTTAGATGTTAGTTGCATCTCAGGCGAATATTGCCCCGACTGCACTATTAAAGCATTTAGTCAAGCGTTATAAAAGTTGCTTAGCCTGCTGGAACTCTGGATAGTTCTTTCAAAAAATGGGCTTGGCGGAGTCAAAGGATTAAGGTTTTAAGTAGACGCAAATATTCAAGCTGCAAATTGCTCTGACGAATTCAGAGAGTCAGCAAGTTAAGCAATAAAATAGTAATAATAACAATAATAATAATATAATAAAGGAAATAAAGGGAGATGTAAAGAATCAAACATAAGAGGACACAGAAAAAATCTGAGCCCCAGATGGGATTCTAGATCGGTCGTGGGGTCGAATCCCATCTGGGGCTCAGATTTTTTCTGTGTCCTCTTATGGTTGATTCTTTACATCTCCCTTTATTTCCTTTATTATATTAATACCAGTGGAATAATAATAATAATAGAAAATGAATTCAAATTTCGAAAGACTTTACTTGGGTCATGTAGCTTTAGTCTCCGTAGATGACGTAACCTGACCCCGGCTTCGTTCCGTCTGTGGCAAAGGCTATCCGGTTTTTTAATAAGGAATGTTCTCACCAGTTGTTTCTGATATTCATTGCTTTGCATGGGTGAAATCTCTTTTGGAAACTAGGCAGGAGGAAAATGCTTATTAAACAGTCGGGACAAGAATGACAAAACGCCTTTGCACTATGCTGCAACAAAAGGAAACTTACAGGTGAGTGATCGTTGGCACATTGGAAAAGTTATATACCTTATATGATAAGATGTGACCACTAGTTCAGTTAACATTCTAGGCTTCTAACTGGTTACCTAGCATCCTTTTCAGATTTTTAAGTCGTCATTTCTACAATTTGAAATATTTCTTTGATATATTTGGTCGGCTCCACTAGGCAGAAAAAGAACATTTTGAAGCCTTCCACCTACGTAAGATACTTGCAGAGTCGCTTGTATTATCGAGGCTTGATTATTGTGACTCGGTCTATTCACCTTTGCCAGGATAATAGACCTTGTCACGGTTTTCGGATCGACGCCGCCTTGACGAGTAGGTAAACGCGTGAGAAATTACAGTGTTTGTATGAGAATGTAATGTCGAATAATTTCCGTAAAAAGGCTGTTCTGAAAAAAAATATCAATTGTAAACTAAAGCTACAAAGCAAAGGATTGTACTAAAAAAATTTGGGGGCGTACCTGTGCTTAAATTTCTCCAGAGGCTTGCTTTAGATTTTCCATATATTTGTCTGTAATTTTTCTCTGGACTTTCTTACAGACGAATGTATAGAAAATTTAAAAGTGGTTCTAGGTCGTCTAGCGCATGTAACGCCCTCAATTTTTTTCGGTAAAATCCTTAGGAGTGAAACTTTAGTTTAAAATTCAACTTTTTTTCAGAACAGTCGTTTTACGGAAATTATTCGACATTACATTCTCATACAAACACTGTAATTTCTCACGCGTTTACCTACTCGTCAAGGCGGCGTCGATCCGAAAACCGTGACAAGGTCTATTATCCTGGCAAAGGTGAATAGACCGAGTCACAATAATCAAGCCTCGATAATACAAGCGACTCTGCAAGTATCTTACGTAGGTGGAAGGCTTCAAAATGTTCTTTTTCTGCCTAGTGGAGCCGACCAAATATATCAAAGAAATATTTCAAATTGTAGAAATGACGACTTAAAAATCTGAAAAGGATGCTAGGTAACCAGTTAGAAGCCTAGAATGTTAACTGAACTAGTGGTCACATCTTATCATATAAGGTATATAACTTTTCCAATGTGCCAACGATCACTCACCTGTAAGTTTCCTTTTGTTGCAGCATAGTGCAAAGGCGTTTTGTCATTCTTGTCCCGACTGTTTAATAAGCATTTTCCTCCTGCCTAGTTTCCAAAAGAGATTTCACCCATGCAAAGCAATGAATATCAGAAACAACTGGTGAGAACATTCCTTATTAAAAAACCGGATAGCCTTTGCCACAGACGGAACGAAGCCGGGGTCAGGTTACGTCATCTACGGAGACTAAAGCTACATGACCCAAGTAAAGTCTTTCGAAATTTGAATTCATTTTCTATTATTATTATTATTCCACTGATATTAATATAATAAAGGAAATAAAGGGAGATGTAAAGAATCAACCATAAGAGGACACAGAAAAAATCTGAGCCCCAGATGGGATTCGACCCCACGACCCTCCGTGCTCTAGATCGGATGCTCTAACCTCTGAGCTACTGACGACTCGTTAGCGAGCAAGGGTCATTTTTGTGGGTTGGACTTGCGAACCGCATCTCGCAGTCACACAGTCCATCACAAGCAACACATTAAGGCTTAACTGTATCACACAGTCACATTAATAGCAAGAAATGTCTCACCCATGAAGGAGCCTCCAACCAACCAACCTATGCCACTGATATTAATATAATAAAGGGAATAAAGGGAGATGTAAAGAATCAACCATCTGGGGCTCAGATTTTTTTTTTCTTGCTATTAATGTGACTGTGTGATACAGTTAAGCCTTAATACGTTGCTTGTGATGGACTGTGTGACTGCGAGATGCGGTTCGCAAGTCCAACCCACAAAAATGACCCTTGCTCGCTAACGAGTCGTCAGTAGCTCAGAGGTTAGAGCATCCGATCTAGAGCACGGAGGGTCGTGGGGTCGAATCCCATCTGGGGCTCAGATTTTTTCTGTGTCCTCTTATGGTTGATTCTTTACATCTCCCTTTATTTCCTTTATTATATTAATACCAGTGGAATAATAATAATAATAGAAAATGAATTCAAATTTCGAAAGACTTTACTTGGGTCATGTAGCTTTAGTCTCCGTAGATGACGTAACCTGACCCCGGCTTCGTTCCGTCTGTGGCAAAGGCTATCCGGTTTTTTAATAAGGAATGTTCTCACCAGTTGTTTCTGATATTCATTGCTTTGCATGGGTGAAATCTCTTTTGGAAACTAGGCAGGAGGAAAATGCTTATTAAACAGTCGGGACAAGAATGACAAAACGCCTTTGCACTATGCTGCAACAAAAGGAAACTTACAGGTGAGTGATCGTTGGCACATTGGAAAAGTTATATACCTTATATGATAAGATGTGACCACTAGTTCAGTTAACATTCTAGGCTTCTAACTGGTTACCTAGCATCCTTTTCAGATTTTTAAGTCGTCATTTCTACAATTTGAAATATTTCTTTGATATATTTGGTCGGCTCCACTAGGCAGAAAAAGAACATTTTGAAGCCTTCCACCTACGTAAGATACTTGCAGAGTCGCTTGTATTATCGAGGCTTGATTATTGTGACTCGGTCTATTCACCTTTGCCAGGACAATAGACCTTGTCACGCTTTTCGACGCCATCTTGACGAGTAGGCAAACGTGTGAGAAATTACAGTGTTTGTATGAGAATGTAATGTCGAATAATTTCCGTAAAAAGGCTGTTCTGAAAAAAAATATCAATTGTAAACTAAAGCTACAAAGCAAAGGATTGTACTAAAAAAATTTGGGGGCGTACCTGTGCTTAAATTTCTCCAGAGGCTTGCTTTAGATTTTCCATATATTTGTCTGTAATTTTTCTCTGGACTTTCTTACAGACGAATGTATAGAAAATTTAAAAGTGGTTCTAGGTCGTCTAGCGCATGTAACGCCCTCAATTTTTTTCGGTAAAATCCTTAGGAGTGAAACTTTAGTTTAAAATTCAACTTTTTTTCAGAACAGCCTTTTTACGGAAATTATTCGACATTACATTCTCATACAAACACTGTAATTTCTCACACGTTTGCCTACTCGTCAAGATGGCGTCGAAAAGCGTGACAAGGTCTATTGTTTTAAGAAACGTCTTCAAAAAATTGAATTTGCTGCCGCAAGTTTTTTTTATGGCAGGTAAGTTAATGATATTAGATACATTTTAAACAGCTTAACTGGATCCCAACTGAAGAAAGAAGGGACTTTAATTTGCTTAGGTTGACTTTTAAAGCACTTGGCGCTAAGTAGTGGCCTTCATATTTAAACTTACAGAGAGTCTCTATATGTAGAAGTTTGCGCTCTCCGGGCTCTGTAAGACTAAAAGTTCCTCTGGAAAAAGGAACATTCCAGGACACTGCGGCTGCCCTTTTTAATTACCTTCCTGGTAATCTTAAAAGTGTGACGATTTTTTATTTAAATTCTTAAAGAACCGGGCACAGGCCAGCTTATCTTAATTGTACTTTATTATTTTCTCTTTTAATCGTTATTTATTCTATTTTTAATATTCATTTATTGTAATATTTGATACATATTTTTTTATTTTTTAGCTAGTAACAGATAAAAATCCACAATGTGGAAACCCTGTTATAAACCGATTAAGCGATTACTTACTTACTGCTTGTAAGCAGAAACCTTAATTAAAAAATTAAGACCACAGTTTCATCATCACGGGACCCAAGTGAGCCGACCTAAGCTTTTGTAACCACACCAGTCGACGTGGTTTTTCAAAGAACATAACTTAAAAGAATGAGTTTTTTATTCGAGATGATAATTGCCAAATGAAGTTAAGATGGAATCCGCGTTACAAAATTTCGTTCTCTGTCTAATAAATAACTTCTTATTTGATTGATTTAACAGATAATTCAAGAGCTTCTTCTAGCAGGTGCAACTCCGGATGTCAAAGACGAAGATGAACGTATTCCCTTACATTACGCTGTAGAGTGAGTGAAAAATTATCGCTATCATTCAGCCGGCTTAAAACTGCGTCATCTAGTCGACGTAGTACTAAGAACTGTGGGCCTTCTCAGACCACGAGGGTCGACCTGTCGAAAGGATTCCGGATTCTCTAAGGATTGTCGCTGTTTCTTTTTCAACTTTTCCCCTCGTGTGACAATAAGCTGTAAGTTTATATTTGTATTTTCTTCGTAGCAATATCGTAGAGTTTTATCTTTTTGCTTAAAATGTAACTGAAGATGGTATTCGCTTTCAGTTGAACCGCTTTCGGTAGCTTCTTATTTCTCAAGCGTGTTCAAACAACAACGAGAGTCTACGATAAAGTCCAGTGTGTACATGTTCACGTTCATTTAACTCTACACATCCAACTCCACTACCAATAACACCGGTAGAGAAAATATAGGGGACTAGTTTAAAAGATGGTAAGGCTAACCACGTATCAATCGAAAGTCGGGTATAATAATACTTTCTGAGAGCCCTTTTTCATTTTAATTGCTACAACTGCCTTACCAACCGACTATAACAGTTCACTACGACACCAAGTTTTTAGCATTTTAACCCACTGAGTGCATACAATGATCCTAACAGAATGCAGTGCGCGTGTCACATCCTAACCTACTAAAATGGTTTTCTTTTTTTGAGTTTCCGTAAATAATAGTGCATAAATTGTCCGTCCTTTGTTGGGAGGTTACAGGTTCGCATCACGCGAAAGCTACTCTTCAAAGACTGGCCACTCTAAACGTAGTGATCACTGTATAAGGTACCGAAGAAAGACTAGATCATTAATTTCTGGTCTCCAATGAGATTTTGACGCATTCCTTCTTTCTTTAGAAATGGAGACCTTTCTTGCGTTCGTATTTTGTTGGAAGCTTGTCCTGACTCCATTCACGCCACCGATTTCCGTCTTCAGAGCTGTTTACATTTTGGGGCGTCTCACGGTCATTTTGGTTTGGTTAAATATCTTCTGGAACAAGGTGCTCCTATAGACAGCAGGTAAAGGGTCCTGTAAATGTACTCACGAAAATGGGAGTAAGAGTGAAAAAAGATATACATTCTTTAATCTTATCATTTTCCTCTTAACTTGTTTCATATTATGTTAAAAAAGCACAGAATTGTCAGGTTTGTCAACTTGAAGGTGACCTTTCTAAAAACAAAAAGTGAAGCTAACATTTCTGTCTTTTGGTCTTGTACAGTCCTGAGTGTTGTCAACGAACACATCATTGGTATTTGAACAGTCTCGAAAAAGACAATGCACGTGTTTCTTTTCGCAAAACTTTTGTTTTGGTGCCGTTCTTGACACTGTGGTGGCAGTAACCAACCAAAATTACTTTATTTTGTTATCTTATTTCATTTTATTTAGCTTTACCAAAATATAAGGGAATACAAGTGTCAAACACTACAGAGTCTGGTAAATATAACTCAGGGAAGCCAACGCGACTTTCGCTCAAGAAAAGATATTATATAACTCGCCGCATTTAAGTTTTGTCCGAACAAGTAAGTTGAAGTCTGCTAACATATTTGTCCGCACCACGGCGACATTAATCGGTACTCTTGTTTTCCGGGTAACATCTTCCACATCATTTAGCGCTGGGTACAGAAGTAGTAAGCTCATATTACATTTTTATGGACTTGTGTTGGGATTGTTACTTTTAGGTTTTACTTCCTTTTGTGTCTCTTTCCTAGATGTGATGAGCGTTTAACTCCACTAATCCAAGCAGCATTCAGAGGTTGTCCATTAACTTCTGGTATTTTGCTCGACCAAGGAGCAAAGATTGATGCTGCCGATAAAAATGGGGTATGTTAAGTTTGAAAGGTGAAAAATGCACATTTCAAATAGAGGATGTGAGCTTGTAAGTAACTAAGAGACGTATTAGTCGTTATTCGCACATCGTGGGAAACGACATTTCTAGCGTCAATTCTCTCGCTGTTATGAATGAAATTTCGCTGATGAGAAGACAACAGAAGTGTCTTCCTCACATTAAATATTAATATATTTAAGGGTAAGGTTGGACGTCAGCGTACAAGGGCGACCCCTAGAATCTGCTATCGGTACATTTATGAGCTCACTGTAACACGCCCAGCCCATGATATAAATATATAAATATATGTGGAATGAGGTAGACTACACCACCGGGGAAAACTTTCCCTGACGTTTTCGAACAATAGTGTGGGTTCTTTTGCGTCCCGTTCAATTTGACCCAATGAACGAAGGACGAAGGACACGAGGCAAACGGCTTAACTTCACTGCTAAATGACGCTATATTCTGAACTACTGCCAGCATGATCTGGTGTGAACCTAGGTCCTCCCACTTGCAGAGAAGAAAACCGAAGCTGCAAACTTATGCAAACAGGATCCACTGGGCTTGTGTCTACGGTTTTTAGTTAAAAGGAAGTTAAATGTTTATGTTGTGATATTTTTTGTTTGTCTATATTCAAATGTTATTTATAACACCCCTTCTCGTTTCATATCAACAACCAAGAACACAGCTCTGATTGCGGCAGCATCCTGTGGCAGGGTAAAGGTTCTACGGTTGTTGCTCGACAGAGGAGCAGATCTGGGTGTGTTCACCGGATGTGGAAAGTCTTGCCTAGAAACTGCAATAGCAAACGGCCACCAAGAAGTGTGTATGGAGATAATCAAACACGAGAGGTGATATTTACACAGACCAAAGTTCTAAAAGATATGTTTTACAATATAATATACAACGCAATAGGTCTGTCGGGAACAAAACAGTCTAAGTCTTGAGAGGATTACGTATTATTGAGCCAACCATAGAAGACGAACTTTGGTTTGTAGTGATGTGAGTGACTAGACAAAATTTTCGATAAAATGTTCTCTTCTTTCTGCAGGTGGAAGGAGGCATTTCAGCGTTGCAATGAGAAAAGCAGTTTTATTCCTTTAAAAGGTCTGATCGAGACTTTTCCTCTTGCGGCAAAGGTAAATGATATAAACCGAAGACTAAAAAAACTTCCTTATCGCTTTGTCATTCTCCTTTTAACAAATAGTTAAGAAATGATAGGAGAGGGAAAGGAGGGGGTTTTGGCCTTATGTCTAAATCCCTGTTGGGGACTTTCCCCTCCTTAGTACACTGTTCAATGGTATATTTAGCATACCAGGACCTACTTGTCGGTTTCCTTGTGCAAGGGCACTTTGCTGTACATTTTATCGACGCGTTGAGTGACAAAGATGATAGACGCTAACTCAGGCGGGAAAAACCAGAAACTCTAGACAAAGTTCTTTCCCTTGCTAGAGAACAAAAATCACACGATTTTTGGACAGCAATACTTTGTTTAGGCGGACTGGTGGTAAAATCAGAGCTATGGAGACGGAGCGAACACAACTACAAATGCAAGTTGACGAGCTTGAGGACCGAATAGATTATCAGCAACAACAACTGCAAACCCAGCAAAATATCATCGATTAGCTGAACCAGTTCTGTGCCCAACTTCAGCCGCAGGCTCCCCACCCCAGAAATCAAGTGCCATAGGGTTCCCAAAGGAAGGGAGGATTGTCATGCTGGAACTGTGGAGAAAGAGGACACGTGAGAAATTGAGTGTCCTAAAACAAATCATCCATCGGGAAACGGGAACAGGGGGTCCTTGATAGCCCAGTAAGATGCCTGAATGTCAATGGGGCCCAAGCATAAGACACTGATACTAGCGATAGTGGAAGGGCTGAAAATGTGACTGTTGTACTTCAACAAAAAATCCCGGCTATATGGACTTTATGTCGTTGGATTTATTGGACAATGTAAACTTCTCCAATTCGTGGACGCGATTGCCGTGAGAAAGGTTTTATCCTATGAATGCTACAAGAAATTGCCTGAAAGCTTACAATTTCCTTAGCATGAGGATGGTTCAACAGATGGGCTTCGAGCCAGTACGTATGGTACAGTAGAATTGTCTGTGAGGATTGGGAGCCAAGATGTTGGTATAAGACTGTTAGTAGCTGATATTGAGGATTCCAACTACGGTATCCTTAACAAGTTTGACAAATTTGATGGGAATCATGTCGGGGCCTGTCGAACAATCAGATCTCAAGGAATTCAAAGTTTGTAGAACTTCAGAGCGAGAAAATTCTCTTAGACTGAACATAGTCCCATCAGTCTCGGAGAGTGCAGAGACTGCAACTGTTTTTACAATTCCTTAGTGTCCTTCATGAGCCAATTTCAGGACATGCTTCCGTAACAAAATTGGGGAATTACAATTCTCGAACCACGCAGCAGTAACTGACTATAAGAACACAGTTCATTCTTCACATGAAAATACGCAGGTATGTTACAAGCTCTCTAGTCTCCCGTACGCACACATTCTTTCACAAGGCTTATTTCTGGGTCTCATGCTGAAGCCTTCTCGATCTCGGAAGGTGTCAGAACACAAGGAGCGCTATTCTCAACTACGCTGCGAACATGGTCATAGTGTTCTATTTCACCACTGGGTACTCTACAATTCAGCCTTGACAACGCATCTGTAATGTTTGTTCTTCCTGGTCTGTAGACCTTAAAGTCATAGGCTTGCAAGCGAAGAACCTACCGTTCCAAACGAGCGGAGGGCTTTGATTTCGGTGAATGTATGTATTCCAGCGGCTTATGATCTGTTTCTAGTTCAAAATTCCCTCCAAAAATGTACATCTTAAAGCGTTCGCAAGCCCACACCAGTGCCAGGCCTTCTCTCTCTGTCTGGCTGTACCTCCTTTCTACATCTGTCAGACCTCTTGAAGCATAAGCAATAACCCTCCACTCAACTCCTTGCAGCTGAATCAACACTGCACTTAAACCAACAGGTGATGCATCCGCCACAATCCCTGTCCTACTGTTTACATCGAAGTAAGCTACTGCCCTTGTACTTGTGATCAGTTCCTTCAACTTGTCAAATGCAGCCTGTTGTTCGGACTGCCCTTTGAACTCCACATTCTTATGAGTTAGTCTCTAGATAGGCTCTGCTACAGTGGACAGGTCTGGAATGAACTTAGACACGCATTGAGCCAGACCCAGGAATGATCGTGCCCCGCCTGCGTTCTGTGATGGATCTACATTCCGGATTGCGGCGACCTCCTCTCACTAGGTTCTACCCCATTCTGTGTCACTTGATGAGCAAAGAATGTCAACCTTGGTAACCTGAACTCACATTTGTCCCCATTCAGTGTCAAACCCACCTCCTTTAACCTATTGAGCACAACAAAAAGCCTCTCATCATACTGCTTAACATTATTACCATAAATAACTACAATCATGTACAAAAGTCTTGGGACACTTTTGCTTTTCTGGGGCGTTTTCCAATTCACAGAGGCCCAACCCCTCCCCTCATCCCACAAAGAATGTTGGACGAGTGTATCCAGAATTTTTTCCGAGTTTCAACTTTGTATAGGGTGGGGTGAGGGAGAACTGCAAGAAAATTCCGAAAAGGACGCACTGTTTTAAGAGGGAACCGAGAAATGACAGAAAAATATGAACATTGCAGTACTGTCCCAAGGACTTTTGTCCAGGATTGTAGTTGAAGTGTAGTTACGGCGTGTCTAGTTCCTGTTTCATCAGAAGTGACAAAAGAGGGTAAATCTGATGCGAACGATGTTGAAGATGATACGAGTAATGCGGGTGATGTGCAAGCTAAAGTTGGAACGAGTGATGCACATGAGGAGGTGTTACCTAGTGCCTTGCAAAGTACTCAACCGAAAGAGACAGACAGCCGCTGTTATAACAGTGACAACAGGCTCGAGTGCCACTGGGTTATCAGTTGTTAACACTGTCATGTGCTACCCTTGCGAAATAAAGTCACTATTTATATATGTATCTATCTATCTATCTATCTATCCATCCATCCATCTATCTATCTATCTATCTATCTATCCATCCATCTATCTATGTATCTATCTATCTATCTATCTATCTAAAGAGGAGACCTCCAATCCGCTTCGGTGATTGGGCATAACCGCTTAATTAACTCGAACCTGAACAATTTTAGCCATGACACTGTACGAGTTTTCAAACGCTTTGTTGACATTATTATTATTATTATTATTACTATTATTATTATAAGTTTTTGAATCTTCGCGGGTCTTGAGTAGGCCGTCTACAAGGAAACTAGGCACCGTTGTTATTTGTTTCTGTTCATGTTAGCACCTTGTAGGCCATTTCCTTTCAGGGAGGGAGTGGTGTTGCGGAAGCTTTATACCGTCTATAACCCTGATGGGAAATTTGCCCTCCCTAGTCCGCGAGGGGGATTTTGTAAAGTAGGTTTCCGGATGAATTACACATGGCTGCTTGTTGAACATGTTGTGCTTGTATACTTTTCCGTGTTCACAAATGAGTTCACCGAGCTCTTCACAGTATGCAATCGCTGGGGTAGAAGCTAGTATTTTGGGGGAATTAAATTGTAATGTGGATGCCTACCCACAAGAAACGCAAGCAAAGAATCTCTTAGAAATTTGAAACCTTTACCAATACCACCAGGCTATAAATGTGGCCACCCGAATCACTAAAAAAATCCGCAGTTACTATTGATTTACTTATACCAAATACCAAAGAAATCAATATACATTCCCAGGTCTGTCACATCGGTATTAGTAACCATTCTCTTATATACGGCCTTAAAATATTTTGCTTTCCTAAATGGAAACCAAAGATTGTGAAGTCGTAACAATTAAGGCATTTCGATACTGATTCATTCCGCGCTTACCTTAGCTTAGCCCCCTGGCACCTATTTAGTAATAATTTTGGAAGACCAACCTAATTGTGCCTGGGAAATTTGGTCGCGCCTGTTTTCCGAAAAATGTGATTTCCATGCACCGAAGCGTAGAAGTAAAATAGGAAATACCTCTGCTCCCTGGTTAAACTCACAGCTGTAGAGGTTAATGTCTGAGGAAGAAATTGAAAAAGGCTGCAATTACCAAAAATTCAGAAGCTTATTGGGCTTATTGGCCCTGTAAACGTTCCTTCTCTCACCCACATAATCAGTTTACCCATTTGGAGTGGTTACTTTCCAGATGAGTGGAAAATGTCTAAAGTATTGCCTTTAAATAAGAAGGATATATTAAGTCTGATCCTAGCAACTTCAAGCTGAGACAAAACTCAACTCTTTCAAATCCCCTCGACGTGACTTTGTCTTGAACTGGGGACGACTCGAGGGAGTTGAGATAGTACTTATTTCAGCTATATTGTAGGTTAATTTTTGTGAATTTGTTTTCAGAATAGATTTTTATTATATATTTTTTTAACTTTAGTAAAGTTTTTTCTTAAAAATTTGTTATGTAAACGGCTCACTGGAAGAACATTTTTAATGAAGTCATACCCCAAATTAACCTACATTATTGTAGGGCCATTACAGACAAAATTCACAAACTGATATGAACAAACCTACTCGTTCGACTGCTTAAAATGCTTAGAAGTAGACTCAAAAATGAGCTGAAAGGCCGTTTGTCATCCTCATCAATAGCACACGCTACTGAGGCACAGGAAAGGGCAGTTGGACTTGTGCCTGTTTCCTGTGACAGATCAACGTGGTCCTACCATTACGATTAAATGCGTGGTTAGGTGGCATCTTCGTTTCCTGTTTCTGCAGTGGATGCATGTAGCGGATTACTATGTAAACATATTAGAGGGAGGATTTTGTTAAGAATGGCTTCTAATGATAGGCAACTCCTTGTAAAATGTTTTCGCTCATCTTATAAAGGGAGCACATAAAGCTTTTCCTTATGATACAATTGTTTCTTTAAAAATAACAATGCTGAAGTTCATTTATATCTACCCTATAATGTAATGAACGCCTACATGGCAAAACTCCCGTACTCGAACGAATGAATACTAAATAATTCCCTTGTAAAGAACTCTTATAATTTTAAAGTCCATTAGCAGGTTTTTCAGAAGGCAGCACATTTAACCAAACCAATTCAATGACGCTGTTTTTTAAGGTGGTAATGGACAAATGCATTGAAAGCTCACAACATCTGAGCTCTGATGAGGAATATTCGGTAAGGAAAACGAATTTACACAAAGCAGTGATTTGTTCATCGTGTGTAATAAGTTCCTTTTAGTAATTTTTCTTTTTTCGGCTTACTAGATAACCTATAATTTTGAGTATGTTACTCCTGATCCTTCAGTCGTTTGTGAAGGCCGTACTTTTTTTGCACCAAAGGTAAGTGTTGATCAAAAAAGTTAATATAACTTATAAATTTATGTAACTTATAAAGATAAAAGCATTCACTGCCTTTGACATTGTTGACCAAGGCATTCTACTCTGCCTACTTGTTTCGGGGTGAAAGGAACTGTGCTCGCCTGGCTGTAGTCTTATTTCACACCTCTGCCTGTTGGAACGCGGCCTCCTTCAGGGATCTGTCGTCGGGCCTCTTTTGTATTTGCTTTAAACTTCGCTGACATTATAAAGTGTTCCAATTCTGAGTATCATTTTTACGCATATGACACTCCACTTTATTTGGCATTACAAAGTGACTCTCTTTATGAAATGGCTTCCTGCAAATCCTTGATTGAAAATTGTGTCAGCGACGTCGGTAACTGGAAGGTTAACAACAAGCTAAAATTGGATCGACATAAGACCGAGTTTCTTCTAATCAGCTCAAGATATCGTCCAAGACCTCCCTTGGAGTCTCTCAAAGTTGACAATACATGTACAACTGTTGTTCAGACAAATTCAACCCGTAATCTTTGGCCCAGCTCAGACGCCGAACTTTTCATGAGCCGAACCTAATACGTTGAAGTAAGTACATGAAGTACTGAATCAGTTAGGAACGCGTGTTGATTTGGAACGGCTCAGCCTTTCTTTTCGCCTAGCCCGGCCGGGAATTTCACCTGTGGAGCGAATTTGTAACGGCGTTGATTCAGATGTCGAACTTTCTTGTACCGAACCTAATGCATATGAGCATCTTTCGCCTTTTGAACTTAGTTCAGCTGCAATGAAGATCGGCGTCTGAATCAATTCAGCCGGTCTAAATAATTTGGATAGGCCTTAATTCGAATTAGGTTCGGCGTCTGAACCGGGCCTAAGTGCCGTTTTCGATGCTAGAGCCATTTACAAGTCTGCACTCATCGAATTAAATCGTTATTTTTCACATAAAGATAGGCTTAACCGCTCCAAAATGTCTAAGGAAGAATGATATAGCCACAGCTGTGATTATATTAATGTTGGCAATACAAAATTTTTTAATAGAAAACTGACTATTTCAAACGGCTGTTACTAACAAAGGCCTCACCTCAAGACATAACATCAGTGGGACACTTTAACACACAGTCTGCTGTAACCACTGATTAACTATGGAAAATTTAGGACACTTTACTTATGAAATGTATCCAACGTTCAGTGTGAACCAGTGGTTACTAAATCAAGCTTAAGACTTGCACTCTTTTAGCAAAGTATTGGAGCATTTACATATTACAGTGATTCAGCACCACGTATTTCATCTGTGAAACAGTATCTAGCAATAAGTGTTAATAGTTAAAAGTAAACAAAAGAAACAATGCAATTATAGTGTAGAAGTGCATAGTGGTATACTATTCCACTTTAGTGCACAATAATAACCTGCTCTCCACTTGGGAGAAGTGCAGGATGCAGTGCGAGGTCATTATTTTCAAGAAAGCCTCGTACTCAGGCAGTGCATTTTTGTGTGTTTTTGATCAGAGTAACCCTGTACTCACCTGTCTTTACAGACAATGCTGGATCATGGTCGAGAGGAACTAATATTTCATCCACTTACTATTGAGCTCATGAGATGCAAATGGTTAGATTACATTCCTGTTAAATTTAAAATTTAGATGGCTTATATAGTGGAAGTCAGTTCACTAATTTAGCTTATAGGTAGTCCTCTTAAATATCATTTGATTTAAATACTGGACTGTCAGGGAGAAAACTAGTTGGCTATTTACAGGGGTAAGAGCGGAGTTAGAGGGGTTTCAAGGGTTAGAATTTGGATAAACCACCGCTCCTGAGGTGAACTGAAACGCCCTAACAGAAAGGCAATTCTAAGCCACTGATTGTAAAATTAAGTAACACCAGGATCGTCTACTTAGCCACCACCCGCTCTTTAGTTCCATTCTTCTCATTATCATTCTCTTTGCATTTGTTGATTTCATTGTTCTAATGCTAGTAACCCTCAAAGTTTTGTACGTTTTCGATGTTGAGTACTAAAAATTTTGGGTGAGTTGCGTCCCAGACCTCTGATCTATGCAAAGACGAGGAAGACATGATGATGACATGGTTTCTAAAGGACCAGAAGGAGACATACTATTTCTTTTATGAAACCTTGCCTACTGATTAATCATCTTTTTTCAGTGTTCTTTTATTTTTTACACAGGCAAAGTATTGGCGTGAGGTTTTTCTACATATCTGCCATACTGTACATGTTTTACTTGGCAAATTTGACGATGTACATGCTATGTGTTCAAAAACAACGTTTACTTCAAAGCCATGCGGAAGGTGACCACGAGCAGACAGCTTCATTTCGAGAGGTTATATACTTACTTGGAAAGCTTTGTAGTTAAAGGTTTTTATTCGTGTTTGTAGGTTTTAGTTTTGACGCCCACATTTTTCTTCGACATAGGGCGTCTGCATCACCGCTCACGTAGACGTTTGGGAGATATTTATAGCGGCTATGACTACACTTGGCTTAATAAATGAAGCGTACCAAGCAATTTATGAAGTAAGCTGCACTGATTTGCTTATCAAGTTTCAAATAGAGCTCGAGTACATGGTAATTCAAAGTAGACAGACTGCAAATTATCTTAGTTGCTAAAAAATATATATGGGTTCAAGTTTTGATCTGACAATATGGGTCTTCTTTTTAATTAGCAATTGCACATGATTATCTTATGGGGGTGTTATTTTGCAGTACATTTAACAAAATTATTAATCAACTAGAAATTTCAAATCCTTTAAGTATACGAGTAGCTCTCGTCAAGGTAGATTGTCGTCTATATTTGTAAGAGCATTCTTATGTTTCTTTCAGAAATGGCGGTATATTGAGACAAGTAACATGGTGGAAGTTTGCACGTTTTCCACAGCCCTTATTGCCGTGTTATCTGAGCAGATAATAGGCATGGATCTCGCGAATAAATACTTTTTCCTTGTCATCTCCATTCTTTTCGGCTACCTTACTCTTCTCCTTTATTTACAAAGGTTAGGCTCAAATAGCTTTCTCCTAGCAGTGTTTTAATGACTTCTAATACCCATTTGAAACAGATTAAAGTACCTCCAGATTCAAAACATGGCATTGTGTGAAATTTGAGGTCAATGTTTAGGATTGTATCCAGAATTGAATTGAATTGACTAAAACTTGAATATAATGGTTTGGAAATTAAAAAAATTGCAACCGAACAGCGAATACGAAAAAATGGTAAAATTGGTAGTTGTATAAGAAAACCAGGAAGAGGAGAAAGGGGAAGAAGAAGATTTCTTGGTTTGGTGGGACTCTCTTTAAAGTCAAAAAATCACCCAACTATAGTATTATGCATTTTTTCTATTGTTATTTTCAGCATTTTTGAATCAGGGGTTCATGTCACCATGCTCTTCGTTGTCCTGAAGACACTTGCAAAGGTTTTTTTCTTTTCATCACTTCTTGTTTCAAAGAGTGTTTTTTTAATGTGTTTTTTTAATGTAGCGAAATTCATAATATCCCACAAATGACTCTCCTTTAGCTAAGCAGTATATTTATTCTTATTACTCCTTTAAAATATTTCGCCGTTTCTGATTAGCTCAAACCCCAGCTAATTCTTTAAAACCAGCCAACGTTGACCAAATACAAAAGGCTGCGAGCAATATACCAAAGACTCGATAGTATATATTTGCTTAAAAACGAAGTGTATCGATGGTATATTTGCCTAGAAAAGAGGTCGCTTGGGAAAAGGTGAACTATTTTATGGTTTGACCGTTTTTTCCTTAGGTTGCAATAATGTTCTTCATCCTAATTTTCGCCTTTGCTCTGGTTTTTCGACTTCTTCTATCAAAACAAGCAAACGTAAGTTAACAGTCGTGCGATGTCCTTAATTAATACATCACATTAGTTAACTATCAAGGATAACCCTATATGACGTTAAGTTTTTTAACTAACACAGGCAATCGCTTTAAATATGACTCTGAATGACAGCAAACTACAGGAGGAAATTGAGCAGGTATGACACTCATGTCATTTCAAATAAAGTGGCGACAGGGCCGTGATTTTTGGCGGCTTCAACCTCTTTCGCTAACTGTCGCTACTGCCATTGATAACCAAGCATATAAATCATGCCATATGTAAAAAGTTGTTCTTTTATTTCTTTTATATTGTTATTGCCTAGTACATATTTCATTTATTTATGTTTGTAACTATACTTCCGTTAGTAGGTCCCTATCAGCTATTAGCTGCCATTTCATTGACCTACGTAGCAAATAAAGTATGTATGTGTGTAAAATAAGGCAAAAAATAGATTTAAAAGTTGAATTTATTGGTTTCAGTATGAACGACAGTTATTTGTGATATGTGCTCAATCAGAGTGGTAAAGTGTCTTGTTAAGGTCCGATTCTAAATTGTAAATTTATTTCTTTTGAGTGGGTGTTTTCAATAACCGATTACAAAAATGGCTTTGATAGTCTACGACCGAGTGTTTACGAAAGGAAAACTCGCGGAGGCGTCATCGCAGGTTGATACTGTTCCCCGACCTCTTCTTAATCCGATGAAATTCTCCAGTGAAAAATGTAACGTCGAATGGAGGCACACAATGACATTCATGACGTTAAAAACAACATCTTTTAAATGTTTAATCATACTCGAGGCGTCCCGAAATGACTCACAAGTATCCTACAAAATAACCGCCACATGTATCCATTAGAATTGCGGCGTACGGAATCGATTATCGCGAGAAAAACGTTAACAAAAACCGATTACAAAACACTTGAGAAACTTGAGATTATTTCAAGGTGGTATCGTGCACTCCAATGACTAGGCCCACGTGCGCATGCTCCAAAATAACAAAGGGGAAACCCGCTGGTCAGAATACCAGCAGTTACATGGCTCCCCAAAATGTAAGCCTTGCCTTGCAGTTTAACATCAATTATAACTATCACGATAACAGTCCCAAACTTATTTTCTAGAAAAAGCGTTCATAAAAGTTCAGGCTCCTCGTCGAGGAATCCCGATCAGTCTAAAACGAGCTTGGTGACAGGCCATTCCAATTTGGAGCCATTGCTTGTTAGCACTGTTACCTACTAGAAAGGGATCTAACGTGCGAAGCGTACTCATTTTCTTCAGCACAGCCTTCTCTTTATCTACTTCACGGTTACCGTACTTGCATGGCGTTCGCTTCCGATTAAAACACTTGTCTTTGTACTTCTTCTACGATCTCCACTTCTGCTTCCTGTAAGTTGGCGACGTTAAGTTCTGCTCTTGTGGGGGTGTTAGGCTCAGTTCAAACGTCGAACTTTCCATCACCGAACCTAATCCCTTCAATTAAGTACATGAAGAGATCGACGTTTGAATCAATTAATTCCGACATATTTAACTTGTGTCGATGAAGTGGTAATGAATCTGACCTCTCTAATCATAGACCAGTATCGCTTCTCTCCATCTTTAACTGTATCTTCGAAAAGATAATGTATCATCACCTCAAGTCATTTACTGAGAAGTGCAATATTCTGCATGATTCAAAATATGGTTTTCGTGAAAAAAGGTCTTCTGAGCGTTCTATTTTAGACATAATTAATGAAATCCGTATTAAAAGGGATTTCTTAAGACATAAAACGGTAAAAACGAACGACAAAATCCGACGTTTCGGAGTAGTCATGACTCCATTATCAAGGAAAAATGTTTTCGATCATGCAAATTACAGCATTTAAAGCGATGTGGCGCGAAAATTAATATAACAGGGTGCGAAGATTATGAAAATACTTTCGCCCGAATAGGTTCTTATGAAAAGCATTTCGTACACTAAACAGTCAAATTTGTTCCTGCGTTTCTTAAGCACTTCAAAACATTTCAGCAGGTCCTGAGGGATCGTCGCGTGCACGTTTTTGCAATGTTTGGCAATGGCGGAGGACAGCTGTTCATGTCCTTTTACACGATTGTGTAAATGTCCGCGTGTGTAACCTACATAGCATGCATCACACAGGTCACATTGGAAGTTATAAACTACACACTGTTCATTTACGATCGGTGGCTTCGCTTCTTTCACATTCAGTTCTTGTTCAATTTTGAAACTAACATGGATAGAAAGTGTAGTACTCATTTGGTGTGTTCATTGACTTGCAAAAAGCCTTTGACACAGTAAATCATTGAATATTATTAAGAAAATTGAATCATTATGGAGTACGTGGAATAATTAGTGATTGGTTTGCATCATACTTGGTGGGTCGTCAACAAACAACATAAATTGGTCCTAAAAACATATCCAAAAAAGAAGTACTGTTCTCGGGTGTGCCACAGGGATTGTCCTAGGACCCTTACTGTTCCTTATTTATATAAATGATATATATAACAGCTCTGATAAATTGAAGTTCTACTTATTTGCTGATGATACCAATTTGTTATAATTATACTGACAAAAATCTCAAATCGCTTGAATCTACAGTTAATGTACAATTTTTTAGGGTATATAACTAGCTAATCGCAAATAGCTTATCACTAAAAATAAAGACGTCTAACTTGTCATTTTTAGACCAAGACAAAAAAAGTTAAACCTTTTCTTTCTCGTTTTTGAACTTCCACGTTCAGCCTCTTCTAGTTTTATCCTATTTAATGATTTCTATGTTCCAAATAAACTGTGCGTACTTAGAGTTACATTGCCGCTGTCAGTATTGGTTCTATACACAAGCCTCATTGGCTTCCTATACACAAGCCTTATTGGCTTCCTTGGACTCCCTTGCCTCATCTTTTTTTAAAATTTTATATGTATATTTTGTGTTTTTTGGCAAAATGATAATAAAACAATAAACACAAGAAGTCAACTTGATAGTATTTGACCATCATAACAACTCGTACATTTCTTTAGAATGCAAAAATTATGTCAAATAGCTATGAGTGCTTATTAATGACAATCTTTCATGGAAATACCATATCGCCCACATCACTTCAAAAATAAGTAAAACAACTGGCATTATTCCATACAGCCTAAGATTCTTTGTGCCCCTGAATATATACATATACATATCTTTTATCCAGCCCCAGGGGCGTAGCTAGGGGGCTCCTGGGGTGCCCATGACCCCCCCCCCCCTTGGTAGGCCTTCTTTTGAGCAAACAACCTACAATATTCAGGTGGCGAAAACGCCATGACAATATCTTGGCCGTAAAAGCTATTGTTGCAAAGCCCACTTTTTTAAAATTTGTTTTTTTTGTAAGGTATTTTCGTCAACAGCTCCTGTCTTTAGTTAATATGGGCCTTCATGCCGCGATAATACGACTGAGCCCGCTGATGCACGAAGGAGAGCAGCGGTATAAGCCATATATAGTTGGCGATCCCCGGATGGTGATCTGGTGAGTATCCGCTGTGACCCCCCCCTTTGAAAAATCCTGGCTACGCCCCTGAGCCCTACTTATTGTACGGCATAGTCTCTTGTGGCCAAGCTGCTAAAACGTACAAAAACAAAATTCTTATTCTTCAAAAACGTGTCCTCCGCTTCATGTTCTTTGGTGGCTACAATTCTCATGCAGTACTTTATTTTGTCTCCTGGCCTCTAGCTTTCTTCCTTTAGATCTACTCTACTGACTTTAAATCCGTTGCTATTCTAAGGCAAGATACATCTACCAGCTTAACACCTACTAACATATCTAACTTATTTGCTTCCCAAGGTAATATTCATTCATATAATACAAGATCATCTTCAAGAGGTGACTATTATGTTAAACACTCAAGATTAGACAAACAAACTTAGTCTTTTTCAAGATATAATGTAAAAATCTGGAATAGTTTACCGTGTGAAATGGGTCAAATGTCCAAAAATAACTTTAAAATCAATGTCCAGGACACTTTACTCCGAATACTTTCGGAAGAAACTTATTATTAATATTGATTTACCCGACTTAAATAACAAAAATTTCCTGAAAACTCTGCTTCTTATATGATATACATGTACATTATTGTAAACTTAATTGACTTATAAACAAGGCCACCGTCAGCCTCACATTCACTCGAAGGCTAGGATACTAAGTCCACAACTGTAAGATTGTCTATTTAATTTGCATTTTTTTATTTATTTAACATTTTTTAAATCTTTTTCTCTAGTCTTACTTGTGAGCTTCTTGTATATATATAACATACGTGTAACCACTGCTCGCCTCGACTAGCTAATGCGCTAACTGTGGGCAGTGGATATTGCTTGCTGTAAAATTTGCAATAATTAATAAACAGTTGACCAATGAATTAAGAAAGAGTGGCCCACGTGGGAATTTCGACTGTGGAGCGACTTCGTTTCAAACGTTGAACTTCTCACCTGTCGAAACTAATGCATAAATTACTATAATTTATTTGCACTGATAAGCATTGTTAACCATTGTACATCGTCAAAATTAATTGAGTCGGACTAATTAAGTTCGACGTCTAAATCAACCATCGAATTTTTGTCATCTGGGTCGACCCAAATAGGTATGAAGCTGTGCATGAAAAGTTCGACGTTGAACTGGGCCTTACTGACACACCCTTGTTCTTTCGTTCCAGCACTGGACTCCTTCCCTTTAGACATTACCTTTTCTCTGAGATTTTCATTGTACCTTAGGCATAGTGCGACAGCTACTTTTGCTTTGTGCCAGCTTGAGAACTTGAGAAGTCTCTCAACTATGACGTCACTCTCTTTCACTACACATGTGTTAACCTCAGTGTTTTTTACCTCTGGGAAATCTGGGTCCACATTGTCTTTGTATATCTCTTCTTTCAGCCAACTGCTGGTAGTTTTTATAAGGAAGTCAGGAACTTGGATCTATTGTTATTTCTCAAAGAAGTGTCTAGGTGACATACCCATTGAACCTTCGTCTGCAGCATTTGAAGTGGCTTCTACATAATGCCACTGTGAGGGGTTGTGTGATCGTAAATGAATTTAACCCTGTTGCCTACATAGACATGAAACCGACTGGATTCGTTATTTATAAAGCCTATGACGACTTTACTGTCCGTCAAGTAGTGATCCTCAATGTTCTCATACTCTACCTCATCCTTTAGAACATCACCAATCTTAACAGAGACTGAGACCGCAGCTAACTCTAACCTTGGAATGCTGACGGTCTTTTTTGACGTCACTCACGCCTTTCCAAGGCAAACGAGACATGTATTTTGCGGTGTTATTCGAGCTTAAAAAACGAGCACTGTCCGTAACCGCGCGTCGAAGTATCAGACATACAGTGGAGTTGTGTCGACAAAATCTTTCCAAACTCAGAAGGGTTTAAAGCTTCTTAGTGCTTTCAAACTTTCATCCGCCATTTTTCCCATCTGCTGCGGGGAACATCGTCGACTGGCTCTTCCCAGCCATTAGTGTGACAGGTGTCTTGGAAAATCTTCTTTCCAACAAGTAGTACAGGAGCAATGAAACCTAAGGGATCGTAAATCGAGCTGATGGTCGATAGGATGCCTCTCCGCGTGCAAGGCTTATCTTTAAGTTCAATCCTAAAGTTGAACGTGTCTGACTCATTGCACCAAATAACTCCTAACGGGGAGCAAGGGATGGCGCAGTGGTGAGAGCGCTCGCCTCCCACCAATGTGGCCCGGGTTCAAATCTCGACGTCGACGCCATATGTGGGTTGAGTTTGTTGTTGGTTCTCTCCTTTGCTCCGAGAGGTTTTTCTCCGGGTACTCCGGTTTTCCCCTCTCCTCAAAAACCAACATTTCCAAATTCCAATTAGATCAGAAATCAGGTAGACGAAGAACCACCTTGTGGATGTGCTACCTCCAAATCATTATTAATATTATTTATTAATATTATCTCGCAGTAATTACTATAATCATAACTATAACAAAATTCTCAAATCTGACTGGCTATCAACTGCCCTGATTTCAGCCTTAATAGGACAGTTTAATTGGACAGTACGCGTCATGCCTAAGTAATTGGATAGTACACGCCATCACGCGCGCGCTTAAATGGCTTTTTTTTTCCACTGGTGGCAAAAATCTTGGAATTTCTTGTGTTTTGATTTTAAAAAGAGCTTTATATATCACAAATTTTGTTAAAGTTATGATTAATTGGTAACAGAACCTAGTGTCGTCCAATTCGGTTTGTAATCATATTCGTGATTAAACAAATCGGACTCCCGCTACGCGGTCGTCCAATTTTGTTAATCACTCGTATGATTACAAACCGAATTGGACTCCACTCAGTCCTGTTACCATTACTTATTATTATTTTTATTATTATTATTATTATTATTATTACAAGTGATACCGGTATAAAAGTAAATTTTAATTATTTTACACTATATAAAGCTTCGAGTTTAAACCTTAAAATAATTTGATCAAAAAGGGTTAGCTTTTTCGTCTTTCTTCGGAGCCACACATTTATACGACGAAGTCACGGTTCGAGGTTGTCCGTTATAGTGAGAAGTGATGCCATTTACTTTTATTGAAATGAATGGATGAAAATTGATCGCTCTTTTTTATATACAAATCATGTCCAGTGACATACAAAATTAACGAGGGTCGTACAGGGGGGGGGTCTTTCGCACGGTTCACGAACAGAAAAAACAGCGAATCACGGATCACGGCTATCAAAATTTCATTTTCCCGAATCAAATAAACAAGTAAGGTACTC